CCATTCTGCAATAGACAATCAGAAAAGCTGTTGTAGGCGTACCATCATTTTCCAACCGTCACAAATAGCAATGTCCGAGACTCTCTTTTTGAAGCCTGAAGTTGTTAGACTGAGAACCAGAGGAGGAGATAATTACTTGAGTTAGTTTATATGGAATCCGGTAGCTCAGTGGTTAGCGCACTCGCCTCGCAAGCGAGAGACTTGGGTTCGATCCCAGGGCAGGGCGAAACGGTGGGCAAGTTTCCTTAATCCACACAACTCTGCTTACCTAGGAGTAAGTGGGGACCCGGTTGTTAGTCGATTGGCGGATCGCTTATCCGGGGATAATAATTCCTTCAAAAAAATAATAATAAATTGGTCACTTCAATCCACGATTGTTTGTGGGGACGCTGCTGTGCGCAATTGGCTGCCGCGTTTCACCCACAAAATATACAGTCAATTCGCTTTACAGTATATTCTGTGAAGCGCTTTGGGACGTCTCGAAGTTGTGATGAGGCGCTGTATTAAATGTAAGGATTATTATATTCTTGGTAAGCTGCAACGTAGTCATGTTTGAGAAGGTTGGCTTCTCCTTGCCTCGGCCAAGCAAGCGAGTGTCAATGTACTCCATCGCTTCCTCAATGGAGCAATTCCACCCACAGCTGATGCACATATTACCTTGTCAGAAGGTTACCTTGCCCATTTTGAGCATCATGATTGAAATTGGCCACCCGTAGCCAAAAAAGTCCCATTGGTTTGAGCGCTAGACAATGAAGGGGAAAAACTAAATTAGAGTGCGTCACCAATCAACCGGGATGCAACCCCGCCTTGAAGGGCACTATAACAATGCAGTTGTTATTGTTGTTGTATCTGATTGATAAGGGCACCTCGATCAACCTAGTCGAACGATAATTCCTTCATTTTTATTTCGGCTCTTATTGTGGTGCTTGCCTTACCCAAGAGGTCATGGCTACCAACAGGGTAAGCTCAAAAGTTTTAAGAATTTTCGCAACCTTCCCAATATCCTGTTCCATTTTACTCACGGAAGGTGTAAGAGGATGACTTACTGGCTGGTAATATATCCTCTTGCCTTTGGAAGGTTTCATCACTCCAGCCGTTCTGAAGTTTTCTGTTCTTTGAACTACATTTGAATGTTTAGAACTTACACGATTACGGAAAATTACGGTCCATCCACAATACTTAAGTCAGACTCAAGTCAAAATACAAGATATGTAGGCCCAATAAACAGCTCTCATGTCTCCTGAAAGGACCTGATAAATTTCTCACCCTTAATTTCAGTGTCAATGTGATTAACACAGATAACAACAAATTACATTTGTGTAGCACCTTTCACATCAGGAGGTTGTCCCAAGGCGCTGGGCATTGGCGATTGAAATTTCTGATGATCCACTTGGATTGGTTTACATGGAATGTAGGAAGCCGTGTATTTTGTTTTAAGTTAAGGACCTTCTGAAGGTCCATCTATCTCTAGTGATTTCTATATGGCATGGGAAGAAACTGTATGAAGTGTTGAATGCCTACTTGGTAAGTACCCAAAATGATTGGTGACGCATTCTAATTTGCTTCGTAAAAAATTCACCTTACATCAAAAACAACCTGTTTCGTATGTACCATTTGTCTGTCAGTGTCATAACAAACCTGGGCTTAATTGCCAAAAGATCTCATCGCTGTGTTCTTTGCTCTGCCAACTCCCACAGATACTCCATTCCATAAGCCATACCCTGATTTAATAAACCAAATTTCATAACAGGCAATTCAACCCTATGACCCACACCGCAGTGAACATCAGTCACCAAGGTAACAACCAACATGTGTGAGAACCTCTTAATCATTCATTTCATTACAAAACTATATCCACACAAAAGCACATCTATGCGTGGGTGTAGCTGCTGGTTCTAACTGGCACATTTGAGCAGCAGCAATAGTGATACTTATTAAAAAAATGTATGTTACATTAGAATGGATGATAGCTTAATTGGTTTCTCTTACTGTATTCCTACCAGTTAGTGATAGCTACCAGCAGCTGTCTGGTATTCCTACCAGCTACCAGCGAATGCCCAACTACCAATGGTGGAGCGGGAAGTGGGGGGAACTGAAGCAAGCTGGGGTCCACCAAGCGGAGGGAGCGGACAGGCTGATATGGAGTTAGAAGGTCAGAGAGGTAGGGAGGAGCAAGACCGTAAAGAGCTTTGAAGGTGACATTCATCTGAACAGGTAGACAGGTTTAACGTTCCAACAACGTAGTGGTCCCCCCACCCCCAAACCTGTATTGGAGTGTCTGCACAGACAAGTTCAAAGACCCGATATGGGGCTTGCACCCACAACCTTATGACTCAGAGGTGAGAAACAGTGAGAGTCAGGTTGACACCAAATATAGATCTCTTCGGTGCAAATTACTGAAACATAATCAGGCTCACTCAACACTAAATGGAGCAATTCTCCATTGGTGAACCCATTCATTGACCATGGCAATGTGAAGGATCATCATAAGCTCAAATAGCAATGGACCATGTAAAATATATCCTGTCTATGAAAGTACTTAAAGATACTGATAACTGGAAATAATCTTTTTGCCTTTGCCTATGTGTAAACACACACATATATGTAACAATATATAATATATTTTTAAAAATGCATTCAATCAAACAACAAATTCTGCACCTCAATGTACACAGTAACTTTTCAACGAAGGCAGAAATATTGTGGAATAATTTGCGTAAGGTTAATTTTATTTGATTTTTTTTCCCAGGATAAATGATAATCTACAAATAAAAAAAGTTTCCACTCTGGCAATCGCTGTTTAGGTTTCAATGAGGACAAGATAGCGGTTAAATGCTTGAGCGTCTGACGCAGTTCTAAAACCACCCTGGGTTCGTATTGCTAGCACGTGGAAAGGAGGGGGGGGTTTCCAGGAGGACTGCTGCTAACCACACGGGCTCAACAAGGTTCAGAAGACCTGGCTTACTGACACTCTGGAAGTGGCATAAGCAAGGTCAGACCACAAAACCCAATTCAGAATTTCAATATGTGATGAATGGCAATTGAATTATATTTTTTTTAAATAAAACTGCAAACAGAGCACACTTTTTGGTTTGCTCTTTAAAACAACGTGACTACGCAAAAAGAACATAAAATATGTACTTTATATACATATACAAAATGCAGTAAGGACAGGAGGGAGGTGAGGGGGAGAAAAGTGACTGATTGTCATGATTACAGGTTTCAAGGAATGATACTGAACTGCAACATTAAATACCTGGCATCATTTTGCTATAACTGAATGTACAGCTGTCCATGTAAGCAGCGAAAACCGTGCAACTTTACAAAGAGCTTTGACATGTTATTACCCATTTTCCCCAAACTAAACAGGTTCTGGAGAGAACGCATGTTGCACACATCTCACAGCGTCACACTAACAGAACCCTGGGAGGAGTTCTGGCGGTTATTACTGGCCTCGCTGGCAATCAATCCATTTGATAGGTTTGTTACTCCTACAATAAAAAAAATACAGCTCAATTCACCCTAAATTCTGGTCAGACAAGCCCTCACAGCTCTACATCAGGTGCTAATATGGAGCAGTTACAAGGACACAGAGTACAACAACCAAAAGACAGATGAACTACAATTAGGTATAAAGATCATCCTTCATCTTTAATTCTTCACATACTTTGCCACCATCTGAAGGCTTCTGACAACTCTGGTTACCTGAAGTTCAAGCGACTTGCTGCTTAATGTGTTATTTATTGCTACGGTTTCCTGTTTCTTCCAACAGCCCACGCAAACCAATATCCTTGTTTAAGCATAACAGGAGGGGTTATTCCCCTCTAACAGCATAAATTTGGGGTCAGAGCCCCAAGCATTAAAGGCCACCCTTTTACTGGGTTCAGCACGAGATTCCTGTTAAAAGATTCTCAGTTAGGCATCCATAGAATTTTCCCACTTGTATAAATTCACAATATATACTGTGAAGCGCTTTGAAATGTCTAGAAGACGTGATAAGGCGCTATATCAAATGCAAGGATCATTATTATTCTGTGCAGCGCTTACTGGAAATCTGCAGCCAAGCTACTTTAGCATAGATTGCTTAATTTCATCCCCATCTCGGCCTCTATTCACATCAGAACACAAAAGAAGTAGCGCTCCTTCAATCAAATGTGACCAGAAAGCCAGGCAAAATGTTTGTCTCCATTTCCCAGAACTCACCGACAACCTGACCTACACAACAATCATATTTAGCTGTCAGCGTGAGTCAATTGGTAGTGAGTGCTGTTGCCTCTGAGTGAGGAGGTTGTGGGTTCAATTCCCACATTGGACCTTTTGAGCTTATAGCCTGACACTCTGTGCAGTGCTAATGGAGCACTGTATTGACTGAGATGACTTGCTTTGAATGACACATTAACCAAAGTCCTGTCTGTCTTGTTTAGATGGACGTTAAAGATCCCACGCCTTGATTCAAGAGGGAATTAAGTTTCTACTGGCAACCTGGCCAATAGTCCTCCAGATCTTCCTTACTTCACTGCTGTTTGTGGGATACTGCTGAGCATTTGGCTACCCTTTCACCTACAAATACACCTCCTATCAAAGTCTCTGAGACTTTTTGAACAAAGTCAAATGCAAGGATTATTTATTTTAGCGTCCTACAGTTAAGATTCTCTTTCATATGATTTTTGCGCCATCAAAATATCGCTTACCCTCAAAGACACTATTTATATGCAACCAAAGGCTAGAAACTTCATGCAATTCCCTATCGGCAAAATAATTTGAAATTCATGGAATTTGGGGAGAAAATGCAAGACATAAATAGCGCAAGACATTTCGCCCTATGCATATTGACTTTATTGAAATATGCATGTAATGGAAACCCTCAGGTTAGTGTAAGTGATTGGATGATTAATCCATATCAAATGAAAATATTATTATTATTATTTCTTCATTGGTGAGGTGGATGGGTTGTTTTGTCCAATTTATTGTACTGTCCGCTTTAAAACAGCCTGCCTTACCAGTAATCTTGTCGGTGTCAAACTGGCTCTGGACAGCTGGTTCTGGAGCAGGGTCAGATACGTCTGTCCTCTCTGTCAGCTTTGGGTCTTCCGTTGCTGGGGGGACGTCCTTGGTACCTGCTCATCAAAAAGTTAAAATATGAAAAGTATTTAAATGTTAAATGAATCAAGAACTCAAAGTTCATTCAACTGGTGTCATCAGTTCAAGAGGCCATCTTTTCAAGTCTAAGTAGTTTTGTCTTTTCAAGCAGGACTATGAAGCACTCTCGCCTCCAAATCAGAAGTTAGTGGGTTTAAGCACCACATTGGTCTCGGCTAGCACGCTATTGCAGTGCTGGCTTCTACCGGTGTCCTGCCCAACAATCCCCAGCAGATAAAATTACTCATTCACCCCATGGCTGTTGTTGGACATTGCTGTGTACAAATTGGCTGCTGGGTTCACCTACAAAACACAGTCGACACTTTACAATAAAGCTTGTGCTGTACTTAGAGACGTCCTCCCTCCTGACGTGAAAAGCATTCCATCAAAGGCAAGGTTTTATTATTATTTATTATTATTAATTTTAATGGTTGTCTTCCACCACCAATTAATGCAATAGCACCACAAATAAATGCATGAAATATAAGTCAGCTCAGCTCAGAGGCCTGAGGTCCTCATGTAATAGTCTAAAATAGACATAGCTTGTTTTATTTGCAGCTTTAATAATTAGTGTTACATTTATCTCCTTTCTGGCACGCTGAAATCTTGATCTCCCAAATGGAGGAGTTGGTCTCAGTGAGAATAGCATTATCTGTGGTTTCCATCTGTAAGCAGACCTCTTGCTCTGACATACACGCTTTGCTATACTGTCGAGGTGTTAGCTATTGCTAGTGGCACAATAATTTAACAGGACTTCCTTTGTCAAAGCAGCCATGTATCTGGAAAGTAGTTCAACTCAAGTAAGCATTACCTTCTGGCGGAAACATTTCTTGAGTCTCTTCTCCTCCCATATCAGTCATATTCTGGAAATAAATATATAAAATCCTAAACAAATATAAGAAATGCAACATAAGACATTTACACAACACCTTTACGTTGGGAGAATATCTCAAAGCTCTTCATGTTGCTGGCTTGGCACCCCTGAGCTGGGGCAGGAAGCTGAAGAAGGAAGGGAGGGGGAAGTGAACCCCGTTTCTGCAGTGGAGTCCTGTAGTTCAGTGGTTAGAGCACTCGCCTTGCAAGCGAGAGACCTGGGTTCGATTCCCGGCAGGGCGAAATGTTGGGCAGGTTTCCTTACTCCACACGCTTCTGTTTACCTAACAGTAAGTAGGAACTCAGTTGTTAGTCGATTGGTGGATCGCTTTTCCGGGGTTAATAATTCCTTGAAAAAAAAGTTGGTCACTTAAGTCCACGACTGTTTGTGGGACACTGCTGTGAGCAATTGGCTGCCGCCTTTCACCCACAAAATATACAGTCAATTCACTTTATAGTATATTCTGTGAAGCTCTTTGAGACGTCTCGAAGATGCGATGAGGCACTATATCAAATGCAAGGATTATTACTGATGTCACCAAGTAGGAGGACACAGACGCTGAAAAGGAGAAGTCTGAGGATAGAGCCCTGAGGAACACGGTGTGTGACTGTGCGGGAAAGTGAAGCCACTAGATGAGTCAAAGAGAAGACCCGATAGGATAGAACTGGAAAGATGGAGCGCAGGTGATGGAAAGGATGGAGGGGTCGATTGCGTCAAAGGCTGCAGAGATCAAGGAGAATGTCATCACATACCTGATCTAACATCTCCAACAACCCAACCTTTCCAAGTCCTGACTGGTTTCCTTGTAACTTTCTCCACAATGTAAGTAATCACACTGCACTTCGTACACTCGCCCCACTCGGGTTGGTGCTGTTTTCGTACACTACAAAAAAAGGGAATGAATATAGTAATCGGAGACAATCGATCACGTTTTATTTCAACGTCTTAGTCATTTTTATTTGCTACGCAAATTCTTATACATCGCCATATCGATTAAGTTTTACGCAGGAAAAATTCCATAATAATGATTGGTTTCATAAACCCAAAACATCGCTTTTATCATAGGACATGAAGCTAAATTGGCTGCCGCAAATTCAATTCCTGCATGCTGCACGTTTCCTGAATAAAAAGCAATTGCTGATGTAATCTCAGGATGTGTGGCAGATACTATTTCCTGTGCTCCAAGTGTGAAACAAAGTCATCCACCAAGCTTGCACGTCCAAAGGACACCAATGTTACAACAAAACTCGTGCAGTAACAGGATTGTCCTGTATGTTTAATAAGGTTATGTCACTGAGCTCCTGGCATGGTCTAATGGCATCATTCGAGACCTACGTATGGTATATGTGTCTAGATATCAAGTGAGAAGAGGATTGGGCTCAGCTACGGTGGAATAGCTTATTGACTGACACTTGATGTCAAGGCACGTACATGCAAAATGTTCACTTGGACAAGGCACTGGAAAACCAACAGTACCCACAGAACAGACCCCAGTGGTAAGGAAAATGGAATCAGTATCTTTGAGAGAGGAGGCAAGAAAACTGGCAGGGCAAACTGGTGAAAAAGAAAAGTTTAGATGGTTTGCCTCCAGCGTGGCTAGCGAACTCCTGACGCATACAGAATTTTAATAATCTTTGGTCAGCTCCGTGCAGAAGATGGAGCATCAACTCTCAAAACTGGTACTCCTGAGAGAGCACGGGCAGTAGTTTGCTTTCTAGTACCGCACAGAATAGGTCTGTCAGCATAACATACTGCGCTAACCACAACGCCGGCAAGCAATGGCTGTTATACAACTACTTTGACTATAGCAAATATCTTAAGTGTTGTTAAATTCTTTAAGATCAGCATTGAATCAACAACAACAAATTACATTTCTATAGCGTCTTTCACATCAGGAGGGCATCCCAAATGCCGGGGTTCTGGTTGGGATCAGGAGTGGTGGAAGGTAGGGAGGGGAGGAGTAGGAGGGTGACCGAAGCCACAGAAGAGGATGGTCTTGAGAGAGGCAAAGGAGGTGGTGAGGAGGAGGAACTGTGGGATGGGGTTCCAGAGGGTGGGGGGCAGAGAGGCTGAATCAATACAATTATGACTCAGGTACCCAACAGTGTAAACAGTCATTAATCATGAACTTTTGTGATCAAGTCACTTGAACCATATATGGTAGGTATTTGCTATTTCAGCTCCCTCACTCGGTTGGTTCAGTAACTAACTTCCATCAGCCAATTCCCCAGAAGATCTCAACGCCACTTAGCTCTAGAACAAGAACATTTAAACAAATATGAACAGAAACAGATCAAAACTGAAACCTGGGTTTCAGGTAATCGTAATGCTTTGAAAAAGTTTTTAAAATGAGCTCAAATCACATATCTAACTCCTCCAAAGAGAATCCGTTGGCACGTTGTCCTCTTGAAGAGGTGTCTTGAGTTGCAATTCTCCTTATTAAAAGCGGACCCAGATGGCGTGTTTGTCTAATGCAAACCGAGTCCAGATGGCCTGTCTTTGTAATTACACATATTATTTTCCTTTGTGGGTTCAAACCCCATGAGAATGCAGAAATATCATTACAGTCATTCGCTTTGAATAAAGTAACAACTGAAATCTTGTTCTGTTTTTCGTTTTGATACAAACATGAAACTGTATGCTCTCCATGGGCTTAAGTCCATTTCATGCAGTTGATTGTTTGCTTTTAACTTATTGCGCTCGTCGCTTTGGAAAATTTTGTTTTCTGATTAAATGTGTTTACACTTCATTTAGTTCACTAACCTAAAACCTCCTCTTAAAACAAACCCTTCACAAGGGGGTAGCGGAGTCGCAAATGACCGTCGAAAGAGAAGTCGCTACAGTTGTATTATAATAATAATAATCCTTGCGTTTGATATAGTGCTTTTCGCGTCTTCGAGACGCCTCAAAGCGCTTCACAGAATATACTGTAAAGTGAATTGACTGTGTATTTGTGGGCGAAACGCAGCAGCCAATTGCGCACAGCAGCGTCCCCATGAAACACTCGTGGGCTGAGTGACCAAATAATTTTTGGGGGGAGGAATTTTTATCCCCGGAAAAGTGATCCACCAATCGACTAACAACTGGGTTCCTACGTACTGCTAAGTAAACAGTAAGGAAACCTGCCCAACATCTCGCCCTGCCCGGAATGGAACCCAGGTCTCCCGCTGGCGAGGCGAGTGCTCTCACCACTGTTCCAAACTATGTCCCACAAGAATACTGATCATATCATTTTTCCTAAAAGAAAACTTATTGCTACAGAGGGGATGGAATTTACTCCACACCGAATGAAACTAGAGTCGAGGCTGTTACGTTCTTTCACGTAATCTTTCTAGAATAAATAAAACGCAGGAGTTTCCTGCGGTATTTGCACCAAAACAACGACTTGAAACTACAGTAAACTCCTGATAACTTGACACGGGCTTAACTTGTCACTACCACTTAGGTCAACGTGCTGTCAATTTCCCAGCTGTAGGTACATTATATCTCACCCTTCACAATCTAGGCTGACACTGCTGGAGGTGTCCTCCTTTGGACGAGACACTAAACCGAGGTCCTGTCTGTTCAGATGGACATTAAAGATCCGATGATGCTATTCAAAAAGGGAAGCGAGTTTCTCCTGGTGTCCTGACCAACAATCTGGCAAATAAGATTGGTCACTCGCTTCTGGGCTGTTTGTGGGACATGGCTGTGTGAAAAGTTGGCTGTCACATTTGTGTACAAATGCACAATCACTACACTTCACAGTAACTTCAGTGAAGAGAAACTCACCCCAGCAGTAATATAGGTCAATGATTAATGAAATTGCTCTATAGTTCTATGACCTGCTTGTAAAGGGTTTTAACACCCACGGTTTGAGGTAAATCAAATTAATAGTTAAGAACTTGCAGTAGTATGTGTATTTCTCCCACAAAAGACACACAGTTACACCACTTTACGGTATATCCTGTGAAGCGCTTTAAGCTGTTCTCGAGGATGTGATAATAATAATCCTTGCATTCGATTTTAGCTCCTTATCGCTTCATCGAATCGTTTAAAAGCGCTTCACATGATATACCGTAAAGTGCGCATTGTGTACTTTGTGGGCGAAATGCGGCGGACAGTTTGCAAAGAGTAATGTGCCAACAGCAACCATGGAGTGAGTGAACAATTTTATTGGGGTGGGGGGGATTTGTTGGTCTGTAAAGTGGGAGAAACTCCCTTCACTTTTCGAATAGTGCGTGGGATCTTTGCTGACCACATGAAAAGGCAGTGGGACCTCAGTTTAACGCCCCATCCAACGGACGGCAACCCTGACAGTGCCACACCACCCACCGCCCCTGCACTGCAACGGAGGGTCATCTTACACCAGGATCTAAGTGTTATCGAGAACGACCCACGGACTGCATCCAGCAGAAAGGTCATCGTTCTGATGAAAGGTCATCGATCTAAAAACGTTAACTCGCTTTCCTCTCTTTCATGCTGCCCGACCTGCCGCGTGCGCCCAAAGCGACTTCGGTTTCAGATTTCCAGCAGGTGTAGCATTTTACCTTCCATTTGCAGCCCCGATCCGTCCTCACTCCACTCATTGACTGGTCCGCGAGCGCTTTGCTCATCTCGAACTTGAAAGCCAAATCTTTGCATATCCTTCTCAAAATAGTATTATTTTTTAAATCAAATCATTTCCCCCTGCTTTGCTTTGTCGCCTTGTTTTCTCTTCGACTTGCTTTCAATATCTTGTTGTTTTTCTCTCATTTGTTTGGTTCTTTCAACGCACTTTTTTTTTTAAGCAACTTTTATTTAATGGAACTGCATTCACACTACTGGTCAGCACTCTGCTTCTCTCTTTCCTCAGACAGTCTGCAGCCACAAAGCACTTAATAAGAAAGCTAAACCCGCAACCAGGTCTGAGAAAGTTGACTACATAAATAGCAACGTTTGGTACTCCTCCTTCACATCTCCAGTGTAATTTTCTAATTTATCGACGACTATAATTCAGTTACTCAACCTGCTATAATAATTCCAAAGTGTCTTTGTGAACCGATGCATTCACACGAATGCTGTGAGAATTTGGATGGCACTGCTCCAGAGGGCCGTCCAGGCCGATCAATTGAGACGGTTAAAAAGGAGTTCAATGCTTGGAGATGGAACTGAAAGATCTGCCATAAACCGGATGAATGGCCTCCTCTTGTTCTTGTAGCCTTAATTAAGGTCCCATCGTGCTCCCCCAATAGACCAGCGAGTGCAGCATTACCCATTGAGCTGTACAAAGCAGGTCAAACTTCCTTTTTCGACCGGCTCTCCCCCCACCCGCACCCGCACCCTACCATATATGCACACACACACACACACACACGCAGTTGCAGTTTGATAAGTCGTCTCAACGTGAAATGCCCCTTAAAAATTCTATTATTTCATGAGCTGTGTCTTGAGGAAAGCTAAATACCCTCTCGCTCTCATTTTTATCACAATAATATGAAGTGCAAAGTTGCTGTCCGTTGTAATCGATCCTCAAAATGGCCTCCTATACCGGTGGTTGAATAATTAAAGTCTAAATTTGGATGGTGATGCAAAGCAGCTGAGCAGTTTTAACAGAATCTGTAGAAATTCACAGAAATCCTCCCTTACTGTCGCGGCTTGGAAAGCACCAGAGTAAGTCAACACTTCAGTCAACAAAGATACCAGCCGAAAGCATCAAAATACTGATTACAAATGAAGAGTTATTAGCCATTAACTTGCTTCTGCTTGTAAAGTTATTGTCTATCAACTTGTTCCTGGTTGAGATCGACCCGTTCAGTCTATCCTGAACTGTAGTCACAAGTTATTTTGAATCTACTTTCATGGGTCTACCGTTTGGGGATGGATCCACACTTTGGATTCTTTTAGCCCCATCTTCCGTGGGCAGATTCCCAAAGCCGCGTCTCCCTCGTATCCCAGAGGAAGCAGCTCAACGGTCTATCAGCTCCAGAAACAATTCTCGAGAAGAACATCGCATTTGAAGGGCTTGGCCGATCTCTCTTTTTTTTAAAAAAAATTACACTGCATCCCAATAAGTAATCCAACGCTTACTAAACTAACGCGTTACATCCCAATAAGTAGAGTAACATTCATTGCATGTGAGCAGCGCAGATGGTTAAGCTTACATTGCTGAATTACTTTTCACCAACCGTTACAGCTCTTTTAAGTGCTCGTAAGTACAGACACTCTTATAGGCACCGTGAACTCATTCTTTGAAACACTGCAATGAGTCTAATAAACCCAACCGAGATAAACACTGCTATCGGTTGAACTCCAGTAGAGTGATTCTCGAGAAGAGTCTGATCTTATCGAACCTTGAAAGAAAGAACTACTGTACGTGTCATTTTTTTTTATTTCCTCAGCTGAAAAGGACATGGATATTTCCGATGTGACAGAGGTAGACTTGCAATCACCAATACTGTAACGCGCGCACACACACACACACACACACACCATATGGGTCACCAGGTAAATAATACAGTGCATTATTCAAATGATAGCAACCCAAAGAAACGTCCCGATGGGAGCAGAGCAACAACAGGGGTGGGGGGGGGGGTTGGAAAAAAAAAAGATGAGCTCGTGAAATCCCACAGCCAACCACCAAGACTTGTAACAAATCAACCTCTCCAAACGTGCACTTTGTCGCTCAAACGACTTTGGCCACAAATCACCACTTTGCTGCACGTTTTCTCTCTCCGACTATCACTGAACGCCATCACGTTCCAAAGTGTACAAAGCCCTCCGTCAAAGGCGGTTTCGACGCTGTTAATCAGTAATACGTGGGGTTCAGTGTCCACGACACAAACGCGCGCGTTTTTTCTTCTTTTTTAAAAAAAACACACTCGCGCACTCGCACTTCATCTGACATACCGTCTAATTGATCTGATTTAACCCGTTTGTAATCTACGTGATTTTACGACGCCACCTACACGAGCTTTCATGATCAACATTAATTAACACACAACACACACACACACACACACACACAACACATCCTGCTTTAACCAATTAATTAAATCCCTCGGGGTCTGGATATATATGTATATATATTTTTTAAAAAACTCACTCACACACACACTTACTTTTGACAACTCTCAAAACAGTTTTCCTTTTCCAATGATGGGGCTCCTGTCCCTGGAAACCTAAAGTCATTCAGTCTATTTATCCAAATGCAACGATTATTATGGCTTCCAACTCATCCTGGAGAAAAAATAACCAATACACCCCCCCCCACACACACACAACACCCCCCCACACACACACACACAACACCCAACACACACAACACCCCCCAACACACACAACACCCCCCAACACACACAACACCCCCCAACACACAGCCCCCCCCACACAACACCCCTCACCCCCACACACACACAACACCCCCCACACACACACACACAGCCCCCAACACACACACACACAATCCCCCCCCCAACACACACACACACACAGCCCCCCCCAACACACACACACAACCCCCCCCCCCACACACCCCCACACACAACCCCCCCCACACACACACAACACCCCCACAACACACACACACAACCCCCACAACACACACACACACAACCCCCCAACACCCCACAACACACAGCCCCCCCACAACACCCCCCACAACACACACACACCCCCAACACACACACACACACAGACCCCCCACAACACACACACACACACACACCTCCAACACACAGAACCCCCCCCATTCCCGGCCCCGCCGTGTGCCCGGGGGCTGTGCTGTGTGCGAGGCTGACCTGCTCTCTCCTCGCGGCTCCACGTGCTGCCGCTCTGCCCCCATTCACATGGATACATTCACACCGCGCGGAAGGGCGGGAGAATCCCACGGCGCGCCTTTCCCTCCCTCCCTCCCGTGACGCCAGACGTAGCTGGGATATTTGTGCGCGGTGACGTCAGACCGGCCGGCGGACGCCTGGAAATGCTTGCTGAGGGGGCGGGGAGGGGGGCGGGGCAGGGGGCGGGGCAGGAGAGGAGGCGGGGCAGGAGGCGGGGTAGAGGAGGGGGCGGCGCAGGGGTAGGGGGCGGGGCCGAGGGTGGGGCAAGCGGGCGGGGCAGGAGGCGGGGAAAAACTATGGGGCGGGGCGAAAGGGTCGGGCACGTGACTGCTGTCATGAATGAGCGATCGAATGCGAGGGAGGGGGGGAAGTGGGAGGGGGGGGGTTCAAGCGCGCGCGCGTGTTGGTGCGCGGGGGCGGATGGCGCAGGCGCAGACGCAGTGCTCTTTCCCGCTTCCCCCCCTCCCCCCCATCACGTGCTTTCTCTTTCCCGCTTTCACAAAATCACGCGCAGGCGAAGTGCTCCCCCCCACCCTCCCCCCCGCCCGGGCGCATGCGCGGTGACGTCCGGGCGTTCCCACCCGAGGCAGTGCGCGTGCGCAGGCGCGGGCGGGCGGTCGACGGCGGCGCGTGCGGTTGGCGGTTGGTGCGAGGCCGCGCCGTCCTGTCGGCCAACCAGAGAGAGACGACGAAAAAAAAGAGGCGCTGACGACGACGATGAGGAGAGAGCTGCCCGGTCACCGGCACCGCAAACTGCTCGCGTTCGCCGTCTACAATATCCTTCTCTCCACCGCTTTAGGTAAGGTGGCGGTGGAGAGAGAGAGAGAGAGGGAGAGAGAGAGAGATACTCGTGCGGTCAGGGATGGGAGGGGAAGGTCACTCGAGGTACTGGTCAGCCGTGATCTTATAAAATGGCGGAACAAGGCCCGAGGGCCTGAATGGCCTCCTCCTGTTTCTGGGACTGTGTGTATATGTGTGTAACCCCCGGGGGGTGAGGGGTCACGGTAATGGTGGTGGTGGTGGGTGGGGACGAAGAGAGACCCTTCGGCCAGCGGCGCGAGGAGGGGAAGTTTCCCGGGTGTTTTGAAAGTCAACAGGTCGAAGGCGAAGCGCGACTCTGACCCCCGTGTGGGGGTCAAAGGCGCGTCGGGTCCGGAAGAGGGAGAGACGCGGGTACGCACCACCCCCCCATTCACCCCCGCCCCCCCCCCCCACCCCAAGCTGACCGCCTTGGGGTGGACGGTGTTTAGGCTGAAGTCATGAGGTCGAAGCGCTAAACCTTATCGAGTTAATAATTTGGTCCCTTGGCGCCGCGGCGGTCTGTGGGTCGCCGCTGCACGCGGCCGGCTGCCGCCCTGGCGGATTACCGCGAAGCGCTTTGAGACGTCGCGCCGACGTGGTAAGACGCCGTATCGAATGCAGGGAAAAGTGCTCACACCGAGCGCTTTTACCGTTGAAAGTGCGGTGGCTTTGTATTTTGCGGGCAAACCGAGAAACCGATTTGGGTACGGCGGTGTCCCAACGAACCGCCATGAAGTGAGTGAGCGACTGGTGTTATTTGGGGCTGCTGTTGGCCAGGACGCCAGGAGACATTCACTTCTCTTCTCGAGTAACGTATGGCGTGTCAAAGAGTACCATGAGTTTAAAGACCCGACTCGGGGCTTGACACCCAGAACCTTCTGATTCAGAGGTGAGAGTCTGACCAACTGAGCCAGGTTGAGCCACGTTTCAACCAAAACATTACAAGTATTTTGGAAGAGCGGGTAACGTTCCCGCAACAAAAACTTGTTAATAAAGTTCTTTTCACGTTGAAAAACAAATGTATCCGAGGTTTACAAAATATAATTGAATGGAAATTAAGTGAATGTTAATACAAACAGATGTAGCAGCTGATCTATGTAACCAATGTTTTATAAACAAAATAATATGAGCAGCCAATTGAGGTACAATAATAATCCTTACATTTTGATACATTTGATATAACGTGTTTCACGTCTGGTTCTTTAACACTCTTCAATTCAAAAATATTGAAAATAAACATAAGTGTTTTTCAAGCGGATAAATAAAATTAGTTACAGTTTTAAACTTTGTTACATGCAGTGAAAGTTGGTGCGCCCACTGATCCTCAAGTCAAAAAAAATGGAACTGACAGATCTGTTTCAAAAATTTTCGGCAGCAGCAACAGCAAACCAGGTAACTTAAAAGTAAGACTGATTCAAGCAGGGGCTTTTCTACACACAGTATATCAAAGATAATTTGAGGATTTAAGTTTCCAGTTGATGTACTTTTTCAGTGATGCCTCCCATTTCCCGTGAAGTAACTTGCTGGACTGCTACTTGGAGTATTCTCGTTTAGTGTCCAGCTAAGTTTAGATTCAAAAACATTTCTCCAATGTGAACAGGCAGCATTTCACTTCGTGAAAATGCCACTTATAGTTCATAATCCTATAAGTGTATCTCACAAAGCGAATTTCAACATCAGAGCAGAAAACACGTCTACTATCACCCTAAAAAAGACTATGTAATCTCCACAGGGAGAAGGCTAATTACCTCATACAGGGAGGGAGAACAAATATTCTCCACAGGGAAGGACAGACACATGATTCCTGGCTAATAAAGATACTTTTCCCAAGAACTTTAATGTTTAACATCAAGTTATATCATATGACAATAATTATTAACTTTTTTTTCAAGTAAAAGTTTATGTGAAGATTTACCATGACAGTCCAATTCTTCTCTGTACAACTGAGGATCTTAAAGAGCATGAATTAATAGATCCATATTTTATATGGATTGGACCATCTGGAAAAAATATAAAAGGTAAGATGCTCTTTAACTTTTCCAGGGCTTCAGCCAAACCTTGTGCACATGGCAGGACAGACAATTTGTTGATATCATCATTAACATTGTGTAAGTTGTTTTACTGTGTGGTTAGAAAGTAGGTGGGAATGAATTAGTGGAGCTTTTTCATCGAAAGGTTGTAGATATTTTATAGTGGCCTGCCAGTTGTTTCATTACTGCTGTTTTGCAGTTGATGGTGAGGTTCAATCTGCAGAGACTCTGTGTTACGTTGTTTTAACACATTTTTACCATTACTCACACAACAGTAATTGTAATTAGCATTGCAAGGCACCTTGGGAACCTGTTACAAGGGTTTCTGCACTTTGTTGGAATTCTAAATTACCAGTTAAGTGGCACAATTGAGAGTTAAAATAAAAATGTGTTTTACTTAATTTTTTTGTAAAAAAAAATCATATGGCCCTTCGGCCCATATGATCTCATGCCTCCACCCACCCTACCGCTCGCTGTCCCATCAGAGCCTTAAGCTGTTTTTTTTAATGAGTCAAAGGGTGGTGACCTTTTTAAACATTATTTTTCTCACAGCATTGTTTGTGCTGCATTTCAGGGGAGTCCTATGCGAAGATCACTGAAACAGGACGACTCATATTGAAATCATTCAGAAAGTTCATGTCGGGAGACTATACCTGTACAGTTTCCTACAAGAATATTGAAAAGAAGAAAGAAATATTCCTTGATATGAAATTCTCAGTGTATGGTAAATAATGAGTTAACTAACCCCCTCACCGCAAACCCCCTCCAGGTCTCTTTCAGCTTTCCCCTTGGAAAGTCCTCCGCAGAAAACACCATGAAGTGAAAACTGCAGCTTTCCTAAACAAGTTCCGTTCCGTATTTAAGGAGTAATGGTTGCTTAAAAAAAGTGTTTTGAAATATCTATTCACCCTCATAGTCCCTCATTTCTGAATAATCATAGCCGGTCTTTAAAGCCTGGCCACTACCATCTTGGATTTCTGCTTATCATTTTTGAATGCTTAAAATGGCCTTTATTAGAATAAACTAAGTTTATGCAGAGGATACTGGCCTAACTGAATCTGAGATGGCACAGTATGCCTACACAAGCATAGATAAGTGCTGCTGCCTCCACAGGATAGGGCACCTGCCCATACAGGACAGTATTGCTGCCTACACAGCACGGATGCAAATGCATTCAATGGCAGTGAGCTTTCAGTGCTGTTTCATTCACAGGTTCTTAATTCTACCTTATCATAAGGTCTTATTTAGGTGTCAGCCTGGATCAACTCTTGAGTTAAACGTTTGTGGATTGTGAAGGCCCAAATTGGGATTTTGAACTCAATCTGGGCTGACTCCAATACAATACTGGGGCAGCACTGCATTTTAGGAGGTTCTGCTTTGAATGAGGCATGAAAATGACTTCCTTTTTTTTGTTTTCATACTACTTAAAAAGAGAAGGGAGCTTATCCCAACGATGCTCCATTTGGTCCTTCGTGTCATAGCTGTTCGTGATCAAATTGGCTGCCACATTTCACCTACAAAATACATAATCACTGCAGTAAATCCTGTGAAGCAATTTGAGATCTTCTGACTTGAAAGGTGCCATAACAAATGCAAGGATTGTTGTTATTATTATCATTTATAAGAATACTTTGGTATTATTCATTCCCAGAAGTTCTCATAAAGAAACTTTTTATTGAACTCTTCCAGCTTATCGTGAGCCCGATTATTCGTTTATGTTTGCGACCCGCTATCACACCAAAGGTTGCCATGAGCCTGCTAACAGTCAGTTCTTTCACAAGTTAAATTCAGTGGAAAAAGAGTTGATTGATGATCTAGCCTGCAGAATATCTGACATCAGGATGCATTGCCATGTCGTTAGAGTACCACACAAAGGCCTTGTAACCGAGCTCTTCATTAATTTCAGAGGTGATTTTCATATTACTGTTTGTATCTGTAAAGCACTCTTAATGTTGTCTGAAAGGTTGAAGTATGTTTGTGTCGTTTTAGAGTATTTAATTAACTGAATATGTCAGTAGATAAAGAAGAATGCTGAAAAAAATACATAGGAACTCACTTGTAACTAAGACAGAAACTCATGGGAACATGTCTGTTACGACAAGAAGCTTACAATATGGACAATTTTTTGTTTGGTCAGCCAGGTGTCTGATACATATGGAAACCTATCATTATGCTTAAGAGTATCCAAAACAAATTGAGTTCTATGCACAGTGGAAATTCCCATTTCTGGATTGAAGTGCACATTACTTCTTACCTAATTCCAGAGAGTATTAGAAGCAGGTTGGCAAGAGCCAAGGCTTGGGAACCACAGAGTGTGCATTGGGGTGACTGCTAGTTTAACCTGCTAAAATCGCATAGTTGGCCAACACAGACCGAAACACACAGGAACACTCCGGTAACCACAAGGGGTTTACATAACAGACATAAACACATTCCATTATGTTAACAATAATGTAATGTGTGTAAGAGTGTTAAGACTTTTGCAAATGACTGGTCCAAAGTACTCATGTCTAGCCCATGTTGCAGTTGTCTCTTAATATTAAATTTGTTAGAATCCATGAAAGATCAACCACCAACTAAAAAAGTAATAATTTCTTTCTTCTTCAAATTTGCAGTTGATCCTTTTGCCAATGGATGGGAAGCATTGTGCAAAAAACTCGAACATAACTGTCAAGATGAACTTAACAGAAGAGTAGAGAATGTATGTTGAGGAGGATTTGGGGGCCAGGGGCTGAGCTCTGGGAGTTGGAGGTTGGTTTGGGATCGGGAGCTAAGCTCTGGAAGCTAAATTCTGGGGCCTCGAGCTGGGCTTTAGGGTCTGGAGGCTGTAGCGTTGAGGTGGGAGCCACTAGCTATGCACTAATGTTAAGGAGTGGGAACTGGTTCACTAGCACAAGAGCTTAGCAACATACAATAGTAGCCTGTGTGTGATTGTGTTTTAGGCTCGGAATCGTGTGCAAGCTTTCTTTATGAAGCAGAGCATTGTATTGGCAGGAATGAAAAATGCACTGCCCACCTTCTACTACATTGACAACTCTCTGCAAGTGTCACGAGTAGACCACTGTCGCCCTGGGTTTGGGAAGAATAAGATCACTCATTCAGATTGCTCCGAATGCTGTGGTGAGTCTTGATTGCTATTTAGGTTACTTATATCCCAACTCAACTAGAATACAGTGCCATTTCTTAATAAGGCATTCTTCCGTTAATCAGAATTACATTACACCTACCTGTGGGAACGCAGCTCCAACACAATCTATTTCCTGTTCATGCTGGGTGCAACCAGCTCACTGGACCTCGGAAGAGGTATCAGAGAGGCTGGGAACTCACAGAGGGGAAAGATGATTAACGGACAGCGTGTTTTATACACATCTTAGATGTCAGCCTGGCTCATTTTGGCAGCACTCTCTCCTCTGAGTTAGAAGGTTGTGGGTTCAAGCCCCGCATACGAATCTCCAACTCACAAAATCTAGGCTGTCACTCCAGTGCAGTCCTGTGGAGCACGGCATTTTGCGGGTGCTATCCTTCGGATGAGATGTTAAACCAAAGGTTCTGCCAGCCTGTTACGTACATTTGTAATTTGTTGTTGTTGGATGTTAATGACCCCATGGCATTATTTGAAAGTAGAATGGAGTTTCTTAACAATTCTCTGCATATGTCCATAGCAATTGTGAGACTAATGAGATTGCTTTTGGAACATACCCACATGCCAGGCCTGCAATTCCACTTGTCCTCACCTTGTCTTAAAATCTAAGATAGTACAGAATGTGGAATATTATTAAATTTGAACCTCATTTGGAGGTTGGTTTATTTTTAAGAACTGTACAATTGGCTTCCAAATTTAAAAATTCCCCACTCATCTTAAATTTGAAGACAAAATGGCTGCACAGGCTAAGACCATGAGGAACTTTCACTTGTGTAGCTGTGAGTTAGATCACTGAGCTATCTCACCTTTAGGCTATGCTTTTGTAATGGAATTTCCAAACAGTCGGAAGAGGTTTTGTGTTGAATATCTAGGAAGGCGTTTTGTTGAAATGAGAATATTTCCGTTGCTGGGAACACTAAATACTTGTCTTTGCTTTTTCTTCCACAGTTGTTTGCGATCATGGGATGTACAGCCCCACTAACGATGTGAACTGCTTGCCCTGTACCAGTATCAGGATTAATTTCTATGGAGCCACAGCGTGTTAGCATGTGCCCCCCCTGCATAAATCTAGCCTTCTGATGTGATATTCATTTGAAGGATCAGTGCTGCTCTCTTAACAAAACAATAATTTCACCTGTTGTGCCCAAATAAGCCCTGCTATTGGTAAGATTACTGTCCCACAAGATGTATTTGTACACACTGTAATAATTACTAGTATCTATACCAGGGGCAATAGTTGAAAACACATGGCTGTGAAAATTTCTGAATGTAAATGCTCTGCTAATAAGATTCAAATTGTTGCAACCTGCATTTAATGACCATCCTATAAACCTGACTTGTCTACTTATCTGCACGTTGTCTAATGTTCAATGTTAGCATGAAGCTCTGTCAGACAGTCCTTTCATTATTCAAACCTATTGTATGATCGTTGAACTAAGCATCAGATATCAGGATTTGAATTGTTCTACACTAAGTTCTCCTCCAGCTCTCTCCACTCACAGCGAAACTGCATCTCGCTGTTCATTATGTTACCATGACTAAATCACTCGTCTGTGCAGAGTATTTGAACGATTGAATGCGTGCATTCTAGTCCTGCACCACAGTGATGGTGTACTGTCCTGATGTCACAAACTCAGTGAGAAACCAGATAATATTTATAACATTAAATAGTTGTATCATGGTCATATTTGGCCAATAATTGGAGACTACAGGACGATACCAATTTACATAAAGCTTATGGTACAGGGGCATTCTTTATTGTTATTTATCATGAATTCCAGGCAGTGCAAAAAAAAGTTCATGCGTGGACTTTGCAACAACTCTGTTCAAATGTATCTACCACCGAACAACTTTTATTTTTTTTACAATAAATGCCCAGCAATCTGTAAAAAGTGTGGAAGGTTTTGAATCCGTATCCAGCAACGATACATTACACATGAGCACAGGTATGTGACTGGAACACCCATAAGCTGTTCATCAGTAACAGACAACAGAAAAGCACGTTTGACTCCGAACGATAGCTACTAAGAGACATTGTACGGGGGAACTTGACCCGCAGTTTTAGCCACAATTGCCGACAGTAAGTTTAAATGCTTGTTTCTGCTCGGGGAGCAGCGTAGCACAGGAAATGGGGCTACGGTACCTCTTCCCATTCTCTCCACAAATCCACGTGGCTGTCCTTCCGAATATCATGATGGACATTCCTTCTGCCGCGTGCAATGCAGGTAGCTTGCTGCTGGGGTTCCCAGGAGCCATCCTTGTATGGGCAGTAGCAAAGCGTAGTCGCATTCATTTCCACTTTCACACCAGCAGGGATAATGATGTTTCCTGCAAAACAGTTAGGGCCTGCAGTGACAGAAAACATCAGGAAATTAAACTTACTTGTAGAAAGAATACAATACAAGAAACGTATAATTATGTTAGTTGTACTAATTATGTAGTGATTTTACTAACAATGAAGGACCACTAGTGGTATGAGCTCCAGATTATCCAGAATTTTTCCAGTGCTCAGTCTCTTCCCACAACAAGCTACATATCTCGTTCTGAAAGATATTCAATTAGTGCAAATTGTTGTTCTAAGGCGCTGTGGGAAAAGGCAGTGCTGTTCATTCCCAAATGTAGTATATCCCGAGGAAGCCAGCACACTCGCAAACATCATGTTTGAGCTAAAGCAGCCGCTTATTTAACGCCAAGATGCTCCACTTACTCTGTTAGTCACTTACCCTGTTTGCAGATAGGGCAGCACAGTTTGGATTCATACGAAGGATTGACGCAGAGCACACGAGCGCATTCCGTGGTCAAACAGTACACGGCTCGGTTAGCTTCACACCGGCACCTCTCACAGGGAGACAGCTGCAGGAACACGAGACATTCACGCTCATGCCGGATCTCACGGATTCAGGCTCGGCGACAAAACGTTCCGTCTCGAAAATCTCGGGACGCCACGTGCGTCGATGATAATAATCCTTGCGTTTGATAAGCGCGCCTGATCGCACCTTCGAGACGACTCGCGGCGTGCTACAGAATAGCGTTGACCACTGCACTACTCTAAAAGCGTGGCGACTGCGTGCGTGGGGCGCAAAACGCGGCAGCCGATGGCGCACGGCAGGATTGCGGTCTGAAGCAGCGGAGGGGTAGTTCGGGCAGCGCAGGGCGTGGCTCAGGGCAATGCGATGGTGGTGGTAACTTCACTGGATGTTTCTTGCAGTACCACCTTGTGGTTGGCAGGTGACGCCGTTGCACCGCATACCTTTTGTCAATACCGCAGTCGCTCGTTGGCAAAGGATTTCAGTGCCGCCCACGCGCAATGCATTGAAAGGAGTCAATGCCTGGCAAATTAGCTTGAAAAGACAACAACGACAGCCACCTTACTTACAGGGAGCAGACCCAGAGCAGATCATGAGAGCGCTTTGAGATGTCTCGAAGATGCGATAAGCCGCTCTATAAAATGCAAGGATCATTATTGCCATCATCCTGCCTCAGCTGACATTTTCCCGTTCAAAAGATCCACAAATTAAATGACAAGAAAGTTGTGAATTTTTGGCCCAAATGTTTTGCCGCCACGGTTCGGTTGCGGTTGTGGTTTTGCTGATTGTTCAGGTGCCTACACTGAGAACGCGCTCCCATTAGACTATCCACCGGTCCATCAACCAGCTCCATCGTGCTGTCAAGATGGGTTAATGGACATTGGGAGCATTCAGGCAAGTCCTGATCCCGCCCTCACCAACATTCACCCGTGCATTTATGAGCAGGTAGGTCTCTGAATAGTGATCAATGACGAGACTGCTGTCAAATTTACCCCCTCTCAAACCCAAGAGCCCAGAGGCTCATTGCAAATCCTACAAGTCGCATCTTCGCTGAGATCAGTAATCGAGCACAGACGAGGACATGAAACTTGCAAACTTCCAATATGTAGCTCAAAGAGATTCAGTAGATAAAAATAATAATCCTTGCATTCGATGTAGCACCTTTGAGACGTCTCAAACTCTTTCCCAGAACATACTGTAAAGTGAATTGACTATATATTGTGGGTGGAACTCAGCAGCCAATTGCGCACAGCAGTGTCCCACAAACAGCGTGGATTGAAGTGACCAAATTATTATTATTTCTGTAAGATAAACTTGCTAAGCCATCAGAACACCTCGTCTGCAGGAACAGAAGGGAGACATAGTACTGTAAGACAAAAAATACATCGATTGCAAAGCAGTTTAAAAGCAGCAGTACATTTCCCCCACAAAGAGTTGGAAAGTTACCAAGAACTCCTGGAAGGGTTTGAACATTCGGCCCCCATATTCGCACATCTTGCGTATCTTCTGGCACCGTGGACAGCAGCCTTGGTACGTGACACGGATGCAGCGAGGGTGGATTCTAGGGCAGTCGGGTTTGGTGCACACCGGCCCCTCCTCGGTGCAGGTGCAGGGACAAGCTGTTGAACTGGGGTAGTATCTGGCTCCGACCGCAAACACGAATCCGTTTTCAGCGACGCAGCCTCTACCCCAGTAATCAGCCAACACATAGTCAGCCTCGCTCTTGGCCAGGACAGCGTTGTCTCTCGCCAGGTCGGGCACTGCCGAATGAGTCAACATCAGACATGCTGCCAGGACCCAACGCAGCCTCCTGAGATCAGGGGAGGATGGCAAAGTGACCATGTCCTGTTCTGAGCCAGTGTGCCCAGCGACTGATGCCGCTAGGAGCTGGGCTTCCCAATGGTAAACAAGTGGGCGGCACGTGATGATTGCCAGCGACCAGGCGCTGTGAGGCATCGCGCCAAGCAATGGGCACAAACTGCAGGTGCCTGGCATTGATAGTGTGGGCACATGGGTCGCTCTGATTGGGACATTGCACGCTGTTGACTTTCGTGTGCACATACGGGTTGGAGGAATGAGCACCAAGGCCACACACTGACCAAGACAGATGTCTCTCTTTCCATTGTTGACGTAGGAGGTGACGTTGGTGTGAGTAGGAGTCTGACACCTCGCCAATGCAGGGGTGTTTGGCCCTGCATGGGGGACAGGCGGGTGATGCAGTGGGGAATGCATATTGCAGCATGGTAATCCGTTGGGGAGAAGCAGGGGATGCAGTGGTGCTTGTTGATGTGGGAGAGGAGTAGATGATTGAGTGGTGCATGGCACTGCAGTGTGGAATGGGCAAGTGATGCAGTGGGGGATTGATGGTGTGGAAGTTTGTTGACATGGGAACTGCTTGTTTCCATCACGGGAAATTAGGATTATACGTTCAACATGATTGTGAGCTGGTGTGAGATACGTGGAAGTTGTGTGTGAGCTGTGTGATCTGGCGTGAGGTGTGTGAGGTGTGTGTGAGCTGGTGTGTGTGTGAGGTAGTGTTTACTAGTGTCAGGTGTGCGTATATGAGCTGGGTGTGTGTGTGTGTGTGTCTGAACTGGTGTGAGGTGTGTGCGCGGGTGAAAGATGTGTGTAAGTTGGTGTGAGGTGCATGTGAGGTGGTGTGTACTTGCATTGGGTGTGCTTGTGTGAGCTGGCGGGTTTGTGTGAGCTGGCATGAGGTTTGTGTGAGATGGCGTGAGGTGTGTGTGTGTGTGTGAGGCGTGTGTGTGTGTAAGCTTGGGATTTGGATGCTCAGGGACTCTCTGGAGTATGTTTAGCGTGGGATCAGCATGAGGTGTGAGTAATCACTGGCAGCAGGCAAGGGGTTAATCTGGCAACATTCACATAGTTGACGCAACGCTATCTATATTTAGAATAAATCCCCTGAACTAAGCAGCAGAAGCTGGTTGCACATGTTAAGCCTACAAAATCCCCACTCAGCTTCCAATTCTATTGTTAGTCACAGCCTCCCTTGGTCAGGACGGAGGTAGAAACGAAGGAAAGGACGATGTGAATAATTGGGGCTCGGTTCTGGATGTGAAGCGTCTTTTCTCAGGGTTAGGGGACGAGTGCTTTTGAACTCAAGAGAGTCCAGGCTGACACTCCAGTACAGTGTTGGGGGAGCGCTGTGCTGTTGGAGGTGCCGGCCTTCAGACGAGACATGGAACATGTTTCAGTTGTTGGTCAGTGCACTCCAGAAACAAAAAACATGGGTCTTTGTGGAGACCTTATGGAAGTGGCTGCCCTTGTGGCTCAGTGGCTGGGTCCCTCTCTTGGTCTTTCTGCCCCTAGTTTCACCCGCCCCCATTGAACGTTAAATAATAATAATGATAATAAAATCCTTGCATTTGATATAGTACTTTTCACGTCTTCTAGACGTCCCGAAGCGCTTCACAGAATAGACTGTAAAGTGAATTGACTGTATATTTGTGGGCGAACGCGGCAGCCAATTGCACACAGCAATGTCCCCCAAACAGTCGTAGATTGAAAATGCACTCACTGCCATTCTGGCCCTTCTCTTTCCTTCACCGTGGGGGAAGGGTGGGGGCGGGAGAGAAAGAGAGAGAAAGAGAGTCACGATTCAGTAAAGCAGGGGTCAGGGGAGCGGGGGTCAGTGTTCGGTGGAACAGGGGGGTGGGGTCAGGGTCAGTATTGAAGTCAACCACAACAACAGATTACGTTTGTAAAGTGCCTTTCACATCGGGAGGACGTCCCAAGGCGCTGGTCAGGGGGTCAGTCGGGCTACTCTGTTGCCCTGTGTCCGGTGCTCCTGGGCAAAACACACACATCTTGGAATTCTCTGCGTTCCCGATCCAGACTGTGCTGTATGGGGAGAAGTACCCACAGCCATTCTCATTACCCCCCACCCCCCACCACCTCCACCACCCCCCCCGCCCCCACAACCTCACTCCCCTGTTACTGCTGAGACTCCGACCATTCTTCAGTACTGATTGCCTCGAGGGGGGAGCGGGGGTTGGGGAGGCTGAGTTCCGTCAGGTCCGTGATGATCCTTTGATCCGACGAACAATGGTGTTGCTATGCCATTGCTGAAAACAAAACCCTTCCACAAAAAGCACAATATGCAGCATCACAGTCCCAGCCCTCGCCCCGGCCCAGCTCCCCAGTGCACCGACAGCTCAGCCGGTTCCAACACAACAGGAAGCAGGCGAAACAGAGGCCCGGTCTCCTCCCAGACCTGACAGCAGGGCTGTGCTGTTGTAAACACTCTCCACGTGGAGCTTTTACTTCCTGGTAACTCCGTTGTGTGTATATAAGGCGGCGGGGGGCAGAGACACACACAGGCAGTGGCTGTGCGATAGAGGAAAGGGGACTGCAATGGGGCTCTTGCTCAGTCTGTTGCAGCAAGCTCTCGCTGGTTTCTCGGGGCTCCAGGCACGACTCCTGATGCTGGGACTCGACGCTGCGGGTAAAACCACCGTCCTGTACAAGCTGAAGCTGAACGAGACAGTCAGCACCATCCCCACCCTGGGCTTCAACGTGGAGATGGTGGAGCCCATCCGCAACGTGTCCTTCACGGTGTGGGACGTGGGCGGGCAGGACAAGATCCGGGCGCTGTGGCGCCACTACTTCACCAACACGGATGGGCTGTTCTTCGTGGTGGACAGCGCAGACCCCGAGCGCCTGGCAGAAGCCAGGGACGAACTTCACAAGATGCTCGAAGACGAGCACTTGCTCCGGGTCCCCGTGGTGGTCCTGGCCAACAAGCAGGACCTGCCCGGAGCGTGGGGCGTGAAGGAGATCACACAGAGCTTGGAGCTCAGGAAGCTGTCCTGCAGAGAGTGGCACGTCCAGAGCTGCTGTGCGGTGACAGGTGAAGGGATCCTGGAGGCTGTGGAGAAACTAGCCCAGTTAGTCAAGGATTCCAAGACCTCCCAGCGCTGGTGAGCAGGACACTGACAGACCAACATCCTATGAATATTTATCAATGCAACAAAATGTCTTCCTAGTTTGTAGAACCCAGCGAGACACTAATCTATGGCTACGGTTCATGTGCCGGTCCTCAAGTCTGAATCTTTGGAATTTTTATCACATTCACTCAAGCTTAAGATGGTCGCGAGAATCCTCGCAAACATGGACATTGTGTGCTGGAGCCCAATTGTGTCTGTGTGTACTGAACTCACGCTATATGTTGCTTTTTTGTGGGTGTGGGGGTGTTTCTATGTATATCATAATAATAATCATAATCCTTGCATTTGATACAGCGCTTTATCATGTCTTCGAGACAATTGCGTACAGCAGCATCCCACAAACAGTCGTAGATTGAGTAACCAGTCGTAGATTGAGTATCTGCGTGTGTCTGTGTGTATGACTCCCTGTTTTAATCCCTCCACCTTTCCCTCCTCTTTTCCCATCTTCAGATCACACCTGAAGTCTTTCCTCTTCCCCTCTGTTCCAGACTCGGTATTAGACTCCACCACTGTTAAGCTCTCCGAGATGCTACCCCGTGTGAAGGGCGCTATATGAATGCAGGGGGTTGTATTGTGTGTGTTTTTTCGTAGTTCATCAGATAAAATGCTGAATTCATTCCTAGTTGAGCGAAGCCTTCTATCTCTCAGTTGATGGCACAATAAAAAGTTATACAACCCGTGACTGTCAAGAGTTTGTTTTCCCCCAAATCAATATTTTATCGGGAAAATATAATCTACGAACAAGGCACACTTTGCATTTATTGCTTTACTGTTGTCTCGCCCCTCATGGTTTCACTGTCTATCTAGGAAAGTCTTACTTATAAGACAAACCATCCAAGCTGTTCTCAGCGTTGGACAGCCATCCTGGGTACATCCTAGGGTGTGTGGAGTCCTGTAGCTCAGTGGTTAGAGCACTCGCCTCGCAAGCGAGAGACCTGGGTTCGATTTCCAGCCCGGCAAAATGTTGGGTAAGTTTCCTTACTCCACATGCCTGTTTACCTAACGGTAAGTGGGAACCTGGTTGTTAGTCGATTGGCGGATCGCTTTTCCGGAGGTAATAATTCCTTCAAAAAAAATAATAATAAATTGGCCACTTCAATCCATGACTGTGTGTGGGGCGCTGCTGCGTGCAATTGGCTGCCACGTTTCACCCACAAATCATGCAGTCAATTCACTTTATTCACAGTGTACCCTGTGAAGCGCTTTGAGACGTCTCAAAGACGTGATAAGGCGCTATATCAAATGCAAGGTTTATTATATTTGTTACAGGGTGAAGTGAGGTCAGACCAGTTACCGCAGTGCACGACCCCACCTGACCTCCTGGTCCATCTTACCGCTCGAGACCATTCAAAGCGGTCGGGTATCCACAGCGACCTGGAGTCCGAGCGAGGACCTGAGCAACAAGCAGTGATGGCATCCGCGGATGGGGAGAGCTGACTCCTGTGTGAGGGACTCCTAGGGTCCCTCCTGATGGACTAGTGGGTTTAATGCAGAGGATGAAAAGGGTGGAGGAGGAGGATGAAGAGGAGGAGGAGGAGGAATGGAGACAGCCCTGCCTTATTCCAGCCCTGATGGGGAATAACTGATACCCACCCAGTGACGGAGATCCCGCCTAAAGACCTTCCTTTTTGATCGTGCTTACGGTCACCTCCCCACCCCCCTCCCTCTCCCCCTGGCTCATTGTCAGATTCCGTCCCGGGACGCTACCCTGCGTGAAGGGCTCTAGATAAATGCAAGTTGTTGTTGGAGCTAGAGATATGTGTGTTACAGCAGCCAATTCTAATAGAGGATGCACTCCTCAAAGGCAAGGTATGGTCAGTGCCTCTTCCACAAATGGCCGGCCTTTGGGTCAGAGATGAGCCTTTATCCGTTTCCCGAAGCACTAACAGCTGGTGCCAACACAGCAGGAAGCAGAAGAGTGAGAGGCCCAGCCTCTCCCAAGTCCTGATAGCTATTGTAAATACTCTCCGCGTAGAATTTTCACTTCCTGGTGTTCTGGACAGTCAAGTGTAAATCAATGAGACAGTGAGTGTGAGTGTGTGAAGCAGCGAAACAGTGAGAGTGGCCGAATCTGTGTATGCACGAAAGTGTGCGTATTTGAGACGTCTCAGACACGATAAGGTGCTATATCTGCAAGAATTATTATTATATTACGTGGTAAGTTTGCGAGTCTGTGAGCGATAGTGTGCGACAGAGAGAGTGGGAGAATTATTGTGTGTGTGTGTGTGTGTGAAAGGAAAGGAGGAACAAGAACAAGAGAGAGAACACGGACGCAGAGCTTAAACTGCATTGCAGGTTCCCTGAGACGTGGGACTGTTGTGATTCCGGGAATAAAATCAGCCTTTTCTCTTTGAGAATAAGAACAGAAACACTGATTAAAAATAGAGTGACATTTACTTATTCTCAGCAATAAAAATTGGATTGTGTTTGATACTGGTCGGGGTGGGGAGGATGGGAGGGAGAACGGTTGGTGGGTCAAGGCTCCAAGCACCAGCCACTGTGCGGTGGGGTGGGGAGGGGGGTGGGGAACACAGAGACCCTTGGGTGGGGGTGTTTGAGGGCAATCAGTGCGAGAGTGGGTGGGTGGATGGGTGGGTGAGGAAGGGGGACTTTCTGCAAATAGAGTGTGTAACTGTAATCTGGGTTTCGTCCTCCCACAGGACAGACTGGGGAGACGTTCACTCACGAGGCAAATGCCGTTCGGTTAAGAGGCTGTGGTGAGGTTCTGCACTTCATAGAAAAAAGAAAATCAGTAGTACGAGTGTTACCTGAAGCGTAAATAACTAACGCCATGGGGTGTGGGCAGCAGAGGGAACAGGGTACCAGGGAGCGATCGATTTAAAAATAGGCGCTGATTATAAAAGTGGGGACATTATGTAGGAACTGGCTGGAGCATTCTTGGTCTCACTATTACAGAACCACAACCCCCATTTCCCCCAACCCCGAATACAATTGGTCACCCACTCAACATGGCTACTTGTGGGACACAGCTGTGCGCAAATACCTCTATCGCCGCGTGTGGGAGGCTGTGGGGGGGGGAGGTGGGGCCATGGAGGGAGTTGGTGGGGTGGGTGGGGGGGAAACGGGGGCTTGGTGGGAGGGGGTCCATACTAGTTGGAAAGGCGCTGTGTGTGCGTCTGTAGCTCAAATGTCTCAAGAACACTTTGAGAAAAAAGAACGTCAGGGGCTCTGCCCTGCTCATCATCATCATCATCATCATCATCATCACCATCCGAGAGAAATACATTCACATTAAAGGCTGAGCCCGAGCGGCCGGGCTCCTTGCGTGCCGGTGTCCGAGCTCCGAGACTCTATGGTTTGGTCTCCGTCGCCCCGCTGCCAGCCCTCTTAAGTGTTCCTTTCACCAGCACTCCTCGGCGTAGGCTGGCTCAACGCTTCCCAACCCGGAGCATGGGTATTCCCAGCCCGGCATTCCCAGTCCGGCGTGAGGGTAGGGGTGGGATGGGGATGGAAGGTGTGGGGGGGGAGGGGGGTGCTCGAGACAGATCAACCCGGAGGCTGGATGTTCGGGGGCACAACGTGCAGCAGCTCCTGCTGCTGACAGCAGGTCAAGGTCACTATCCTTGGAGCGACCCGAGACCATGGGTGCGGTGTGTCTTTGGCCGCGTCTGGGAGAGGCAGGAGAGCTCCTCGTCCCGTCTAGCCACTGGTGGCCTCCGCCAAACCCAGATACTCCACGTTCTCCACCGTGGCCACTCGCAGGTAGCCGTTGGGTTGCGTGGGAGCGGCCGGCAGGTACTCGCTGTTCTCCGGCTCCCAGTAATCGGGATTGTCCACGGCCGGGTTGGCGGGGATGGCTGGCAAGTTGCGGTGAGACAGGTACTCGGGGTTCTGCACGGTGCTGGGGCTGGAGGGCGAGGACGGGCCGCTGCCACTGTGCCCGAACTTCTTCAGCGGGATGTCCAGGTGCCCAGGTCTGGCCGGAGACAGCCTCGCAGGAGCCTGGTTCATGTACTCTGTGAGACCAAGAAACCCAGTGACTGCTCTGTCCAGCTCAGCGCCAACCACGAGACTCCTTCAACCCACCCCCACCCACCACAGCCCCACCAATTCCCTCCCAGCAACCCCCCTCCTCCAACCCTCATCCCACCCTGTCACCCCACCCCCTCCACTTGCACCAAGGTCCTGTGGAGTCCTGTGGCATAGTGGTCAGAGCAAGCGAGAGGACCTGGGTTCCATTCCTGGGCAGGGCAGAACCGTGGGCAAGTTTCCTTACTCCACGCGCCTCTGCTTACCCAGCAGTAAGCAGGAAGCCGGTTGTTCGTAGCCTGGCGGATCGCTTTGCGGGGGTGAAAACAATCGGTCGACCACTCAATCCACGACTGTTTGTGGGTACACTGCTGTGCGCAATTGTCTGCTGCCGTTTTCGCCCCCAAAAATATACGGCCAACCCTTTTTTTTTTTACAGTGTATTCCGTGAAGCGCTTTGAGACGTATGGACGACGTCAAATGCAAGGATTATTATGATTACCTGCTGGCGTTGTGAGCTCAGTGTCCTGAGATAAGCCGCAGTCCACTTCCAGTCCATCCTCGGAGTCCCTGCTCACACACTCAACCTCCCCATCGCTCGCACACGCGCCCGGCTCGGAGTTGTATCGGGTACATTCTGCCGCCGGAGGCCCCTGGCTATGGCCGGAGCCCTTCGCCTCTGCGAACACCTCAGGGTAGGGAGCGCCCGATTGCTGGGACAGGCTGCAGCTGGGGTTTCGGTGGCGATTGGCTGGAACTTGTACTTCTACCTCAGGCCCACTGGTGGTGCTCTGTAACACATAGACCATTGGTCCCTCTCTCTCTCTCTCTCTCTCGCTCACACACATGCACCCACCCAACCCTGGCACAGCCGCAAGCTCCCTGGCACATTCAACCCTACCGGCCCCCCCCCCCACCCCACCGCCGCCACCCCCCGGCACAGTCGCCATCCCCTCACTTCCCTGGCAAAGCCCCCCCCCCCACTCCCCATCGTGCAACCCATAGTCTCCACCGAGCACAGCCCCAATCCATGGCACAATCCAACTTACCACTCCCCACCCCCCCACACACTCCGGCAAAGCCATTCCCCCCCGCAGCACGGCCAACCAACCCCCACTCCCCCCGCCCTCCACCCCCCCCCCCCACACACAGCCCCCAACCCCCAGCATAGCAATGCACAGCCCAAGGTTAGCCAGCCAGGCTCTGACAGACAAAGGTTACAAAGGTCACAGGAAGAGACCCTTTTGCACCTTGTGTTGGTGCAGTCACTGCAATCCAGGCACAAGGGATGGTGGAGGGGATGGTGTGACTGGAACAAGAAAGCTCCGGGAGAGAGCGATGAGCAAAGGCACCTTAGTCGATAACTCTTTAGTATCCGGTTTCCCCCCAAAAATGCACTGATGAGAGTTGAGGGGGGGCGGAGGAGGGTTGGGGGGGAGGTAAGGTGCATTGGAGCTTGATGGCAAGGAGGTGCTTCTTCAGTGTTGGGCAGCGGTTTATTTGGGAAGGATTTACAGCAGAATGTGGAGGGTGGGTGGGTATGCGAAGAGGGACGCACACTGTCCCCCTGGGAATGGGTTTGGGGGAATCTCGCCTCAGACAGGCTGAGAGGCCCACGTGTTGCTGTCAGATGGCCTGTCCAGTAGGTGCTGGGCTGGGCTGGGCTCAGGCTCGGGCTCGCAGACGAGGAGTCACTTAAACTAGTAACTATATTTACTCTGGAGGATGGGATTCTCGTCCTGTGACTCGTGCAGGAGGGCTCAGTGCGGAAAAAGCTGGGCTGTGGTACCAGATATTCTTCAGCGTCCAGCAGATCCTGCATGTCCTCCTCCTCCAACAGCGTGCGAAAGAACTTACTGTCGGCGGGGCTCGGTAATACCAGCTGCTCATCCCCCTGAGAGACAGAGAGAGAGACACACATACAACAACAGCAACAACAACAACAAGATTCCATTTATAGAGCGCCTTTCACATCGGGAGGCTGTCCCAAGGCGCTGTACAGTTGGGTCAGGACCTGAGCAGGGGGGAAATGGTCAGGGTGAGGGGAGGGAAGGGAGGGAGCGAGGAGGGGTTAGAGAGTCGAGAGGGGAGCTGAAGACTGAAGGTCAAAGAGAAAGGTCTTGAGACCGGCCTTGAAGGAGGAAAGAGAGGAGGCGTCGAAGGCACTGGGGATAGAGTTCCAGAGCCTCGGGGCTGAGAGGCTGAAGGCCCGACCACCGACGGTAGGGCGGTTGGGGCGGGAGATGTGGAACAGACCGGAGCCAGAGGAACGGAGGGTACGGGCAGGTAGGTAGGGGGATAGTAGGTCGGAGAGGTAGGAGGGAGCGAGGCCGTGAATGGCCTTGTAGGTGAGGATGAGGATCTTGAAAGCCTGGTGCGGGACAGTACACGAGCTGCAGAGTTCTGAATGACCTGCAGTGTGGAGGGAGGTGGCGGGAAGGCCGGCGAGGAGAGAGTTCCCATAGTCCAGCCTTGAGGTGATAAAGGCGTGGACCAGGGTTTCAGCCGCGTGAGGGGTGAGGTAGTGCCGTAGTCTGGCGATATTCCGGAGGTGATGGAAGGCGGTGCCAGTTGTGGCGCGGATATGAGGGAGAAAGGACAGCTCAGGTTCGAACAGAACCCCGAGGTTCCTGACTGGCTTTGAGAGGTGGAGAGTGCAGCCTTGGATGCTGATGGTGTCAGCGCCTGAGGTGCGGAGGCGCTGACGTGAGCCAATCAGGAGGGCCTCAGTTTTGCGCACGTTGAGCTGAAGAAAGTTGTCTCTCGTCCAGGACTCGATGTCGGACAGACAGCTGTCAGGACATCGGTGGTCGTGGAGTTGAGGGTAGAGGAGGAAAGGTAGAGTTGGGTGTCATCCGCATACATGTGGGAGTGAACCCCATGTCTGCGGATGATGTCACCACAGGGGGAGCATATAGAGGGTGAAGAGGAGGGGACAGAGCCCTGAGGGACACCGCACGAGACAGTGCGGGGGCTGGAGGAAAAGCCATTCGTGGAAACAAAGTGAAGACGGAGGGAGAGGTACGACCTAAACCACTCAAGGACAGGGCCTTGAAGGTTGAGGTGGGAGGACAAGCGGTGGAGGAGGATAGCGTGGTCGACCGTATCGAATACACACACAGTGTGAGAGAGAGAGTGTGAGAAATATGATGTGAGAGAGTGAGACAGTGTGAGAAAGAGACGGGGACAGTGTGTGAGACACACATACATACAATCAGAGAGAGACAATGCGAGAGAGAGTCAGAGACAGAGAGAGGGAGAGAGAGAGACGCTGAGATGGAGAGACAGGCGTACACACACGCAGAGTCAGAGAGGGATAATGTGAGAGAGTGAGACAGTCAGAGAGAAAGAGATACATACACAGAGTCAGAGAAAGAGATAGCGTAACAGAGCGAGACAGTCAGACAAACAGAGAGAGAGAGAGACATACACACACGCGCACAGTTACAGAGAGAGTCAGACAGAGACAGAGAGAGAAAATGCCAGCAGACGAGTAATAAATAAAGAGACGTTGCCGGTGTAAGGGAACGCTGAGGACCTGGATGACCACATATCGTGGTGGGTCTCTGGCCATTTTACTGAAGTCTGTGACCAGCTCCCGGAACCTGGGCCGACATTCTGAGTCTATCATCCAACCTGAAACCAGGAAAAAGATGCTGAGGAATGATGCTGCCCACGAAGGAACCACGTCCGGACCAAATAATCCCCCATGGACAGTGACGGCTGTGGGGGGGGGGTGCGGGTTGGGATCCCAAACAGCCTGGGACCCCATAGAGTATTTGTATTGTCGTCAAACACTCACACACAATCACTCACACACACACAATCACTTACTCACACACACAATCACTCACACACAGTCACTTACTCACACACACAATCACTCACACACACAATCACTCACACACAGTCACTTACTCACACACAGTCACTTACTCACACACACAATCATTCACTCACACACAATCACTCACTCACTCATTCACACACACAATCACTCACTCACACACACAATCACTCACTCACTCACTCACTCACTCACTCACACACTCACTCACTCACTCACAATCACTCACTCACACACACAATCACTCACTCACACACTCAATCACTCACTCACACACACAATCACTCACTCACTCACACACTCAATCACTCACTCACACACACAATCACTCACTCACACACACAATCACTCACTCACTCACACACAATCACTCACTCACACACACAATCACTCACTCACACACACAATCACTCACTCACACACACAATCACTCACTCACACACACAATCACTCACTCACTCACACAATCACTCACTCACACACAATCACTTACTCACACAATCACACATACAATCACTCACTCACAATCACTCACACACAATCACTTACACACACACAATCACACACACACACATACACTCACACACAATCATTTACTCACACACACACTCTTGACACGAGCTCGAAGGGAGAGTTCTAAATAAATCCATCCTCAAAAATCAAGTGTGTAAGTCACTCAACAGACTCCCGCCTCAGCTCTAATGCCCCCCCACCCCACCCCATCGTCTCCCCGATTCCCCCCTCCTCCCACCAAGTAGTAGCTCAGGAGGGGTGATGTGGTGCTCGAAGGCGCTGGTGTTTCTGCGTCAGAGGGGCCGACCCGAGTCCCCCCCCACACCCCCACCCCAGTACTGACTCCCACTTACATTTGACCATGATCATGTAGACGTCGATGGTGCAGATGGGGGGCTGTGGCAGCCGCTCGCCTTTCTCCAGGAGCTCTGGGATCTCTCGGGCCGGGATTCCGTCGTATGGCTTCGCTCCGAATGTCATCAGCTCCCACACGGTCACACCTACACAAACACACACACACCCAGTGTCACACCTACAGCACAAACAAACACACAGTGTCACACCAACGCCAAACACACACACAGTGTCACACCTACAGCACAGGTTATTATATTATAGTATTATTTCATATTACAGATATAATATTACCGATGAGGTTAAGTCGAGGTACAGATCAGCCATGATCTTATAGAATGGCGGAACAGGCTCCAGGGACTGAATGGCCTCCTCCCGTTCCTACGACACTGTCGCACCCGCAGCACACACGCAGTCACACAGCACAAGCAATGTGGGAAGGGGGAAGAGAGAGAGACACAGACACACACACGTACACAGTAAGGAGGGGAGGGGAAGATGCACATCTGGCGGGGAAGAGAGAGAGAGAGAGAGAGAGAGAACATCTGTGGAGGTGTTGTTCCACATACCGTAGCTCCACACATCACTTTGGTGGGTGAACTTCCTGTGCAAGATGGACTCCAGCGCCATCCACTTGATAGGAACCTGAGAGGGTTACAGACACAGTCAATATCAGCCTTCAGCCCCGTTGTAACCCCCCCCACTTTGTCATTACCCCCCACCCTGTCCACACCCTCACCCCGCCCCCCCCCGCCGCTTCTCCCCCGCCTCACCTTGCCGCCGTCAGCGTGGTATTCCGTCTCGTCGATGTCCAGCAGGCGGGCCAGCCCGAAGTCAGTGATCTTCACGTGGTTCGAGCTCTTGACCAGGACGTTGCGGGCGGCGAGATCGCGGTGAACCAGCCTCACGTGATCCTCCAGGTAATTCATCCCCTAAACCAGCGGCGAGTGAGAGGGTCATACACAGCAGCGAGCGGCGGTGGGTGTGCGTGTGTGCATGTGTAGGTGTGTGTGTATGTGGCTATGTGTGTGTGTGTAGGTGTTTGTGTGTGTGTGTGTGCGTGTGGGTGTGTGTGTAGGTGTGCGGGCGCGTGCGGTTCCAGGCGGACAAGGTCTGCGACGCCCGGGGGAGGGGAGGGGGGGGGGGTTGGGGGGAGAAGAGAGGGAGAGGGGGTGACAGACGCTGGCATCTCATGGCTCACCTTGGCGATCTGCACACACCAGTTCAGCAGGTGCTGGGACCCGATGCGGTCCTTGTTCTCTCGGACGTAATCCAGGAGCGAGCCGTACGGCATGAGCTGGGTGACCAACTGCACGGTGGAGGTCAGGCAGATTCCCAGAAGGCGGCAGACATAGGGGCTGCTGACCCCGGCCATTATATAGGCCTCCTGGAAAGACAGCGGGCATTTAGCGAGCTCCCTGCTCCAGCTTTCCCAGCCTGGCTCCCAGCACCACAGCCTCGGGAAGATCGGGGCCCATTCAGGTGGCAGATTCCAGCGCCCGGAGAGACTGGCTTTCTCTGTTTGTACTCGTTCGACAGTAACACTGGCTACAACACGTCCCAAACTCACTCAGACTAATGAGTTTCACTCAGAAGTCTGGCCTGAACCACTGACTGGGGCGTGCGGTGCATTGTCGGAGACGCCGTCCTGTCCTTCGGATGAGATGTTGAACCGAGCTCCCCTTCTGTCTGCCTGTTCAGGTTGGGACGGAGTCCGCTATCCGAAAGGAGAAGGGAGTTTCTCTCTCTCCCGGTGTCCTGGACAACCATCCCCCAGGATAAAATTGGTCACGGCTGTTTGTGGGACGTTGCTGTGCGCATAATCGGCCGCCGCGTTTCGCCCACAAAGCACACGACAACAACAACAACAACAAGATTCCATTTATAGAGCGCCTTTCACGTCGGGAGGACGTCCCAAGGCGCTGACACAGTCACTACAGTTTGCAGTTCATTCCGCGAAGGTGATACTCACGTCGAGAATCTCTTTGTTTGCCTTGGGAGACGTCCCCTCCCTCAAAACCTTAATCGCAACAGGAATCTTCACATCTTCATCCTCCGGGATCCAGACGCCCTGAATTCAGACGAGAGCACAGGACCCGGGTTACTGGGCCAGCGCTCACAGGAAACATGGCAGCCTTGGGGTTGGGGTCGAGGTCAGCTTTGGGGGTGGGGGGGGGTGGGGTTGGAGTCGACGTCACAGTTGGAGTAGGGGGGAAGTTGGGTCGAGAGGGGATTGGGTGGGTCAAGACCAGTATAGAAGACTTAGTCGAGGCAGCGTTGAGGAGGGGGAGGGTTGATGCCAGCGTTGGTGGGGGGTGGATGGGGGGGGTTGAGGCAGTATGGTAGGAGAGTGGAGTAGTGGGGGGGGGGTGAGTTGGGTCCAGGACAGCACTGGGATTACCTTGTAAACTGTCCCGAAAGCTCCGGATCCCAGAATTTTCACCTTCTTCATCTCCGTTTCTTTGAGGATTCGCATCTGCGCCTGGTTAGGCACCACTCCACTGGGCGTGAGGGGCTCGACCAGCTGTAACCACACACACACACAGGGGGCCCGGAGTCAGGCTGGCCATCATCACCGGGGGGTTGACGTAACACCATCGGAGGAAACACACTTGACCCACCCACCCCCCAGAGCTTGGCTAGGCATTTGGATACACACACATCTGCCCCTCACCGGTCCCAGTACTTACCCCCTCGCCTCCCCTCCCCTGCCCTCCCCCAACCCGCCCCCCCTACACACACACACACACACAATCATTCACCCCCACAACCAATTACCCCCCCACACACATTCCCCAATCACCCCCATACCCACACCCAATCTCCTCCCCTCCCTGCCATCCGTCCGTCCGTCCCCTCCCCACCACCTCCCCACCCTCTCCCCCTGACCTCTCGTTGCTCCAGGAGACGCAGCATGGTGTGTTTCCTCTTGAGCCTCTTGTTGCGGAGACACCAGACGACGAGCAGCATGATGAGAACCAGGAACAGTAAGGCCCCAGCCACCCCCGCCACGATGGAGGTCACCTGACTGGACACAGGAAAAAAACAGCAACGTACGGTGAGGTCGGGGTTAATTCAAGTAGTTGTATCACTGTGCGTGGTGTGTGTGTGTGTGTGTGTGTGTTTGGGAGGTGGGGAAGGGGACGAGACGGGCGGGTTGTGATTTCACCCGTCATCAGTGCTGCTCCAGCGATAGGGATTGGAGGGTTGGTTGTTGGTTTGCCGCTGTGTCCTGACTCGCTTCTGAAGCTCTCTGTAATCTCCCGAGCTCGGCCGGCCGCCAAACACTGACGGGAATCACAGCCCGAACATTCCTGACCTCACCTGGCGCCCGCGCGCACACCCCCCTCTTCCAGCAGACGGCAGCACCGAGGAGCGGAACCCACATAGTTTTGTCTTCTGATATAAGTTTCTTCTAGGAAACAAACTTGAAGGACAAAGCCAGCAGATAGGATTGTTTCACGAGATCGGTTTGGGGGAAGAATGCCCTTCGGCCCATCTGATTTTGTTTCGCCCACGAAATATACCGTCAATTCACTTTGCTGCGTATTCTGTGAAGCGCTTTGAGACTTGAGCACTCGCTTTGCAAGCGGGACACCTGGGTTCAATTCCAGGCACAGGGCGAAACCTCGGGCAAGTTTCCTTACTCCACACAGAGCCTAATAATAATCCCTCCAAAAAACAATAATAAATTGGTCATTTTCAATCTACGACTGTTTGTGGGACATTGCTGTGCGCAATTGGCCGCCGCGTTCGCCCACAAATATACAGTCAATTCACTTTACAGCATATTCTGTGAAGCGCTTTGGGACGTCCTCCTGACGTGAAAAGCGCTATATCAAATGCAAGGATTATTATTATTATTATTATTATTCTGGAAGCCGTGCGCTATATTATCTGATCTCACTCTTTCTGAATATCCATCCTATCATTCCCCCAGACAGAGCATCAAGTTGCCTTTTAAAATTTCGCCCACCAAATGCATAGTCACTCCACTTTACAGCATATTCTGTGAAGCGCTTTGAAACGTCTCAAATGTATTAAATGCCAAAATTATTATTATGATTATCAAATGATAACCTCTGCTGACCTCAAACCCCCCCCCCACCCCCCTTGCTTGCAAGCCCTTTTAGCAAAGAAAAACTTGGGTGTCTGTCCTGAAATGACCCTTTCTTGCAACTCTAAACCTGGGACTTCTTGTTCCCGTGTCTCACTGCGTCTTTTTCAAACCCATTTAAAATTTATACACCTCTACGAGGCCCCTTTTGAGTCGTCTTGTCTCAAGGCTGAAAAGCCCCGTCTTGTCGCAGATGCTCTCGAAAGTTCCACGCACATCAGAGTGTGAAAACGACAAGTTTGTGTACATTATTTTGCGACAACAACAACAAAATTACATTTGTGTAGCGCCTTTCATGTCGGGAGGACGTCCCGAGGCGCCGGACAGACAGAGTTACTGACCCGATCGAAAGCACGGTCAAAGCGGAGGGTCTTGAGGCGGGTCTTGAAGGTGGCGAGGGAGGGGGCGAGACGGAGGGACTGGGCGATGGAGGTCCAGAGGGTGGGTGCAGAGTAGCAGAAGCTCCCCAACACCTCCTCCCCCCTCCACTGGATACATGTACATGGTTTCCCCCCCCAACCCCCTCATTCACTAACCCCCTCCCCACCAGTATACACAGCCCCTGTTCCTGACTTCGAAGCGCTTTGAGATGTCTCGCAGACGTGGAGACCTGTAGCTCAGTGGTTAGAGCGAGAGGACCTGGGTTCGATTCCCAGGCAGAGCGAAACGTTGGGTAAGTCTCCTTACTTCAAACCGCGCCTCTGTTTACCTCGCAGTAAGTAGGACCTGGGTTGTTAGTCTATTGGCGGACTGCTTTTAATAATAATAATTTGGTCACTCAATCCACGACTGTTTGTGGGGACGCTGCTGTGCGCAATTGGCTGCCGTGTTTCACCCTCAAAACATCCAGTCAATTCACTTTACAGTATATCCTGTGAAGCGCTTTGAGACGTCTCGAAGACGTGATAAGGCGCTGTATCAAATGCAAGGATTATTATTATTACTATTATTATTATTATTATTCTGCTGCGTTACCTGTGGATTGGCTCCTCAGGACACCCGTCCTCTCCAGTCGTGCACCTGAACCGAAAGAAACGTCACATTTAGGAAACAAAGAGCGAGAGAGCGCCTGAATGAACAGCGGTCGATTGTGTACGGGCGAGGCAGGGCGGGGGAGGAGGGGGTGTGTTGGGTGGGTGGTGGGGGGGGGCTTGGTGTCACTCACGAGTGGGTGCAGTTGGTGGGGCACAGCTGGCAGATCCCATTTTCATTTGGGTATTTCCAGACGTGTCCGTGCAAACCGCTGGGACATCGTTCCACACAGTGCCGGTCATCTCTGTAGTGAGCGCAGTCCACACACTGATCGGAGTCCTGGTCAGAGAGAAAAAACACAAGACAAGTCACTACGGTAACAACAACAACAGGATTGTATTTATGTAGCGCCCTTCACGGGGGGGGTAACGTCCCTTAGCACTTAGCGATGGCGGAGTCTGACCCCAAGTCAGGGGGAGAAGGAGTGGGGGGGCGTTGTGTGGGGGGGGGGGGGGCGGAGAGGTGACCGTACGCACGATCAAAAAAGGAAGGGCTTTAGGCGGGATTTGAAAGTTGGGGGTTGGGGGAAACCAGGCAGAGGAGGGGTTTGGGGGTGAGAATTTCAGAGCTTCGGGACATAGGGACTGAAAGCACGGTACCTTGGCATTCAATACGGTGGAGTTTCACGAGTGATAGTGTCTCGGAGCGCTGTAACTTTGCGTGTGACCCACACCCACACTCAGCGTATACCACAGCCACGATGGCACAATCTTGCAATATCACAGCACTTAATCGGGTCAACATCGGCCCATGAATTCACTCCTCCCAACCACCCACCCAGCCACCCACCCACCCAGTCACCACCCACCCACCCAGCCACCCACCCACCCACCCAGCCACCACCCACCCAGTCACCACCCACCCAGCCCCCCAGGAATAGGCAAGGCAGAGGGATTGAGGGAGAGAGAGTTCCAAAGTTCCGGGGCGCGAACGAGCTGAAAGCTCGGTCGCCGATGGTGGTGCAGTGGAGGGAGAGATAGAGCGGGATGTAAGCAGGTGGGAGAGATAGGCAGGTGCCAGGGCGTGAAGAGGGATTCGTAGACGGGTGTGAGGAGCTAGTGCTCCGTGTACCTACCGACCCATTGCAGCTCAGGGTCCCGTTCTGGGGAAGGCACTCGGGGTGACATAAGTTGCAGGTTTTGTGGATCAGAAACTCCCTGAATTCCCTTCAAAGGAAGAGCAAAAAAGCACAAGGTTTCATAACGCGAGAGACAGACACCGTCCAGCCTAATCATACACACGATCACTGCCCTGCTCCTCGCAACTCCTCTGACACACGTGGTAAGGAATGGATTGGAGTAATTTAAGAGAGAATAATAATAATATTAATAATGATCCTTGCATTTGATGTAGCGCCTTATCACGTCTTCGAGATGTCTCAATGCTCTTCACAGCCTATACTGTAGAGTGAATTGACTGCGTATTTTATGGGTTAAACGCGGCATCCGATAGAACACAGCAACGTCCCAGAAGCAGCCGTGGGTTGAATTAAACCAACACCCACACAGGAGACGGGGAAAGAGCAGTGGGATTGGGATCAAGAAGGAGGCAAAGGGAAAATTAGCCTTCCAATCATGGCTCTGAATCCTCACACACACACAGTTGCTTGCACACTTACCCTTGGTTCAAATTGCACGACTCCACGCACTCTTCTCCTCGCAGGAATCCCTTGCACGAGAAGCATTGAGATGCTCCCGAGCCCCAACAGCTACCGTTGGCACACATCTTGTTACAGATCTTGCCCTTGTTGGCTGCAAACACACACACACACACACAAGCACAGGGGGAGAGGAGTCAGGAAGATTGATGGTCACAGGACATAGGAGGGAGCAGGACATTTGGAGAGACTCCCAGCTGTTAGCTTTTTGCCAGTCAATGCTTTTCATCAGTTCATTTGAAACCAATTTACGTTGAGATTTTTCAATAACGATAATAATAATCCTAGCATTCGATACAGCGCCTGACCACGTCATCGAGACATCTTGATGCGCTTCACAGTACATCCTGCAAAGTGCGGTGACTGTGCGTTTTGCGGGCGAAACGTGGTAGCCACGGGGGTGGTGAGTGACCGACGTGGGGGGGGCGAGGGGGGCTTGAACCCACAAACTTCTGACTCAGAAGCAGAGCCGGCTGAAAAAAGTCTCGAAGCGCCTTACGATGGCAATGGATGGGGGTGGAGAGGTGTGAGGAGAGGAGGAGGTGGGGAAGTGGGGGTGGAAATGGAGTTCGAAGTGAAGGGTGAGCAGTTTCTGTGTTGAGAAAGTTGGCGACGGGGATGGTACGAGCTCGTCTAAATCATGGCTGTCGCCGACATAAGTCACTCACTGCAGTTGTCCGAGGGCTGGTTGTCTATTATCCGCGCCTCCTGCTGTGGGTTCCTAAAGATGCGACTCCAGAGGATGCTGTCGATGTAGCACAGAGCGGGATTCTGATGGACGAACACCAGCCCGTTACTGATCTCTTTCAGGGAACGAAGTCCCAGGGATTCGATGTTGTGGAGATTCTGCACTAACAGGGCGTAGGCACCGCTGTGGGAGTGGGAGTAAAAAAAAACCACGACATCAACAACAAATTGTATTTATATTTACATTACCCCCTCACGCAGGGGGTCGGAGCACGATGCCAAGCCTTTGGAGGGGGTGGGGACTGGTGGGGGGAGGGGGGGGGGTCGGGTGGTGGGGGTAAGGTGGCCATAGGCACGGTCGAAGAGAAAGGTCATTTAGTTGGGACATGAAGATGGGATGGAGTTAAAGAAATAAATATATCAATACTCGCCCACCCAAAAAAGTCACAACTGAATCCCACGTCAGGCGTGACACCCACCTCACAGTCGACGTCACAGGGTCAGTCGGTCACTGCCTGTGACGAGCCTTTGCCCAACTGTCGCGTAAATTCGAGCAGTTGAGAACCGCCACAGTTAACACGAGGACTCCTCACCTGTACAGCACGCGCCCTCTCACTACAGACAGCTTCTCGAACAGTCCCAGGTCAGTCCAGTTCTGCGGCCATGCTTCAATGTACAAATAGCCTGAAGAGATGCAGAAAGCTGGATCAACGCACATCGTAGCAGCTGATATTCACGCACGTCCGCCTGTGTGAGTACGTGTGTGTGTGTGTGTGTATGTGTGTGCGCGCGTGTGTGTGGGTGTATGCGCGCGTGTGTGTGTGTGTGTGCGTGTCCTGGTGTGGGAGGTGGGCCACATATGTCAAAATACGTAAACGGGGCCGTGATATTGACAGCGCGATGACTTACGTTGCAGTGACAAGTTAAGTCAAGATCAAGCTATCAGGAGTTTACTGCAGTTGGCAAGTGTAGTAACTATTTGTGGGCAGTCGAGTTGAATGTAAGAAGTGAGTGACCGACTTTACGTGGAGATCGTTGGCCTGGGAGATGGAGGGGGCGGGGGCGCGGGGGGGGGGGAGGGAGGGAAATCCGTTCTCTTTTCGAACAGGATCTTTACCATCCATCGGAACAGGTTGACGGGACCTCAGGCGAGAGGGCGAGTGGGCGAGAGAGTGAGCGAGCGACACATACCTGTGATTTCAGTCAGGGGTCGGAAGATCTCAAGCTGCTTGGGGTCCAGTGGGGGGGTGTTGGTGGCCGGGTCACTGAGGGAACAGACATCAGCCGAAGTTACAGGTAAGAGCGCAGCATGATTTACATGGCTGGACTGAGGATGGGGGGTGAGGGTGGGGGGTTTGGGGGTGGGTGATGGGTGGCTGACACTCACCCTGTGAAGGTCTCTCTCAGGAACACCAAGTTGCCAAATATCTTGGTGCAGCCGTCGAACAGGTGGACGTTGCTGGCATTGACGGCTCGCACGTCCTTCAGCACATTCACACCCAGACCGTAGCAGTCTGCAACAACACCTGGAGTTACACACTCGCTCGCAAACGCCGGGCGGTGCGACGCTTTCACTCGTATGCTGGTCGTGCAACAACTCCCACTCCCACCCTGAGTGTGCGACACACTCACTCCCACCCTGAGTGTGCGACACGCTTGCTCTCATGTCGGACGTAGCACTGACCTCTGAGACAGTGGGCGCTGCACTTCTCGCACTTCTGCTCGTGCTCCAGGATGAGTTCGCGGGTGCTGCTCGGGCAGGTCAGTGTGCAGGAGCCCAAGTCAGTGGCCAAGTAATTATCTGTAACAGCAGCGGGTCAGATAGCAGCCTGCGGAGGCTTCCCCCCTCACCCCCGTTTCCCCTCCAATACCCACACACCGTCATCTCCTCCTCTCCCCCCCACCCACCACCACACATCCTGTCTCTCCCCCCTCCCCTCACATCCCCACAAACACACCGTGGTCTCGTCCTCTCCCCCATCTCTCTTGTTGTCTGTACCTCCTACCCGCCCTCACATGATCTCCTCATTCGATGACAGGTGGGGTGACAGTGGGGAGGGGTTGGGGGCTAGAGAGCAGGGGGGAAAAGAACACCAAGGGGAGAGGGGGGAAATACAACAAGCGGGGTGAGAGAGAAGAGACCATGAGGTGGGGGAGAGAGAGAGAGAGAGAGAGATAACAAGGGGAGGAGATGGTGGAGAGGAAGTGAGAACGGGGGTGTGGAGGGGAAGAGCGAGAGACCATTGGTGGGGGAGAGTTTGGGGGAAAGAGACAACAAGTGTGGAGAGAGGAATGAGACCACGAGAGAGGGAGAAAGAGGAGAGAGAATGGTGGGTTGGGGGTGGGGGGAGGAAATAATAAATTGGGGGGTGGGGGGGGAAAGTAGAGGCATCGCAAAGATGGGGTGGGTGTAGGGGGGGATTGAGGTACAAGGAGGTGTGATGGGTGGAACATGCAATACAAAATTACAGGTCTGGAGGACGTCCCAAGGCGCTGAAACATAAGCGGTGACAGACTCGGTGTTTGTGCGGATTGAGAGCGGGTGTATAGGAGGTGAGAGTGGGTGGGTGGGTGGGGGGGGGGGGGAAGGGGGTAGGAGGGAGAGAGTCGGTACAGTAATATCTTGGATTTGGGCCAGGATACTGGGAAGGGAAGCTTGTTCACGAGTCTCACCAGCTTCCTGTCTGAGGTAAGCAGGTAACCTAACCTGAGGTGTGAAACAGGTTAGCCCAGTTACCTGGTGACCTGGTACAATAACAACACAAGGGCGTTGATCTTACTGCTGTTTACAACTCCGGCTTCTCAACTGGAAACGTGTGTTCGGTAGGTTTCACCTCGGACTGTTTTGACGCAAACCGGATTAAAGTTTCGAGGGTGATGTAGAACATTAAAGAAGGCCATTCGGCCCATCGTACCTAAGTATTAGTGTAATAATAATGCTAATCCTTGCATTTGAAATAGCGCCTTGTCGCTAAGGTTAATATATCAATAGTACATTCTGTGAAGCACTCTGAGACGTCTCGAGGACGTGATGAGGCGCCATATCAAATGCAAAGATTATTATATTATTAACGCGCCGTTGAAATACTTCAAATCGCTTCACGGTAATATTTTTGTGGGCGAAATGTGGCAGCCAATTATAATAATAATAATAATCCTTGCATTTGATATAGCGCTTTTCACGTCGGGAGGACGTCCCAAAGCGCTTCACAGAACACACTGTAAAGTGAATTGACTGTATATTTGTGGGCGAACGCGACAGCCAATTGCGCACAGCAATGTCCCACAAACAGTCGTGGATTGAAAATGACCAATTTATTATTGTTTTTGTTTTTTGGAGGGATTATTATTAGGCTCTGTGTGGAGTAAGGAAACTTGCCCGAGGGTTCGCCCTCTGCCGGGAATTGAACTCAGGTCTCTCACTTGCAAAGCGAGTGCTCTAACCACTGAGCTGCAGGACTCCACGAGGCACAGCAGCGTCTCACAAACAGTCGTGGATAGAAGTGACCAAATTATTCATATATTTATTGATTTACTTATTTTTAAGGGTTTATTTATTACCCCCGGAAAAGCGATCCCCTAATCGTCTAACAACCGGATACCTACTTACTGTTGGGCAAACAGAGGCGAGCGTGTACGTGGGATGAGCAAACTTGCCTAAGGTTTCCCCCTGACCCGCCCGGGAATCGAACCGCTTGAGAGGCGAGCGCTCCAATAACTGAGCTACAGGACTCGGGTACTTACAGGGACACTTCTTGACGCAGGTGGCGCCGAACATGTATTTGCCGTTGGGGTTTGGCTCTGTCTCATAGGTGTGCGGATTGTAGATGGTGAGCGGTGGGCAATACTCCTGGCACACCCCACTGTTACTGACATGGTGACAAGCCTATGATAGAGAGAGAGAGTGGGGGGGAGAGAGGCGAGAGGTTTAGCCCCGCGCAACCCAGAGCGATCGAGCCAGCGAGCGTCACCCATTCCATCCCCCGGACACAGTTGAATCTCCGCACCCCCCCCCCACCCACCCACCCCACACTCCCCACTCTGCGCCCACCTCCCCTGTGTTTACATACCAGGCAGTCCGTGTCCTTGGGGCCTGTGCAACCAGCGGCACATTGGCTGTGGCAGCATTCTGTGGGCTTTGGGCCTTTGCACCGTGTCAGGCATTTGCTGGCACAGATACTGCGGGTCACTGCAACGACAACAACAACAACAACAATAACAATAACGACGACAGCCACTTGCACTTCGCTTGCATTTATATAGCGCCCCTCGCGCGGGGTAGAGTCTCCGAGCTGTGCTGCAACTAGACCCCAGAGAGGGTGGGTGAGGGACACATACACACACACACGCGCACACGCACACCGCCTCCCCACTCACCGCCTCAACAGCTGCTTCCCGACAGAAACGAGAGGACCTGAGTTCGATTCCCGGGCGGGTTAGGGCGAAACCTTAGGCAAGTTTCCTTACTCCACACACACGCCTCTCGTTACCGAGCAGTAAGTAGGAACCCTGGTTGCTAGTCGACTGGCAGATCGCTTTTCGGGGGTTAATAATGCAAGGGTAAATGATAATAATAATAATCCTTGCACTTGATACAGAGCCTTATCACTTCTTGGAGACGTCTCAAAGTGCTTCACAGAATATAAGTGAATTGACTGTATATTTTGTGGGCGAAACGCGGCAGCCAATTGGGCACAGCAGTGTCCCCACAAACAGTCGTGGATTGAAGTGACCAATTTATTATTATTATTTTTTATTTTTCTTTGGAAGGAATTATTACCCCCGGAATAGCGATCTGCCAATCGACTAACAAACGGGTTCCTACTTACTGCCGGGTCAACCGAGGCGCGCGTGTGGAGTAAGGAAACTTGCCCGATGTTTTGCCCCACCTGGGAATCGAACCCAGATCTCCTCGCTTGCGAGGCGAGTGTTCTAACCACTGAGTTACAGGACTCCGCGTTATAATTATAGGAGAGACTTACAGGTCTGGCAATATTCAGGCCCCGAGCCCCAGCACGAGGGACTCCCACACTTAGCGTCACATGGAGGACCTATGGGGGAGACCAAGAGAGAGAGAGAGAGAGAAAGATACAGAGAGACTATCAGTCAGAGGCACGGAGTCTCACCCACCTTCAGTCCCGAGCTGAGCGCTAAGATCTGAGGTACTCACACTGCACTGTGCGGTTGATATCCATGGATTCCCGGAAGTGAAACTGGTTGTTTTTATCCTGAATGTCATCCCATAGGACGGTCTCCTGGAAGCACAGCCTGGGGTTGTCCCTAATCCAGATGTTCCCGTTCAGGATCTCTGAAGCGACACACACACACAAACCGCCTGCGTGTTAAGGCCCTTTGTTTCTCAGCTGCCGTGGAAGGCAGACACGTGAACGAATAATAATAATAATAATAACCCTTGCATTTGATACAGGGCCTTATCCCGTCTTCGAGACGTCTCAAAGCGCTTCACAGGATACGCTGTGTATAATTTTATGATTCTATGATCTTGCAAGAGAGAGGAGACAGATATTTGAGGAGGACACATTTGCAGGGCTTTGGGGAGCGAGCGGGGGGGGGAGTGGGACTGATTTGAACAGCTCTTTTCAAAGAGCCGGCACAGACACGATGGGCCGAATGGCCTCCTTCTGTGCCGTATATTTCTATGATTCCGAAGTGAGTTGACTGTATATCTTGTGGGCAAAATACACGCTCAAACGCACCTCCCCCACCACCCGTGCGCCTGGGTCCCACTGACCTGTCAGGTTCCTCATATGCAGCGCCTGCAGACCCGCGCTCCCGTTCCGGTTGGCGTTGGAAAAGACGGAGAGGGCATACCGCCCCAGGTACAGCTGCGTTCCTCGGATGATCCGCAGGTTCTCCAGCGGGACGTAATCCACCTCGTTGTGCGCGATCAAAACGTAGCCCTGGACCTCCTGAATGTTCTGCAGGGAAATAGGGAAATAGTCCGTCAATAATAATAATAGTAAAAATAGTAATAATAATCCTGGCGTTTGATGCAGCACCTTGTCACGCCGTCGAGACATCCTGCTTCACAGGATGACTCCATGATAAGGACGGAGACAGCGAGAATGTGAGTGTGTGTGTGTGCGCTGCCCCCCCTCACCCGCCCCATCCTGTCAGCGCTGTACAGAAACAGACACCGTCAGTGACGAAGAGCCCACGGCTGCACTCAGCCCACCTGTTCCCTGTGTTTCAAAAGTACGTTGTTATTTTAAACGAATCACGAGGGGTGGTGGGGTGAGGGGGGGGTTTTGGGTGGAGGGGGTGAAGCTGAATGGGGGTGTGGGTGGGCGGATGAGGGGAGTTGAGTGGGGCGAGCGGGGAGGCGGGAAGGGGAGGCAAGCAGGCGACTGGGAGGTGGAAAGGGTACCTTAAGGAAGGACAGGTCCATGTGGCGTTGCAGGTGAGTGATCTCCAGATTGCCCTGCACCTCTTGGCAGTGCTCGTATACTTTGCGCAGCGTGTAGTAATGATCCTCCAGACTGAAGGAGAGCTTTCCTCGCAGGTCGGTCCCCGTACAAACTGCGGGTCACAGAGCACAGCCCCAGTTAGCGAGCAGCGGCGGGAAATAACAACCACAATAATAACAACAATAATAATAACCCTCGCATTTGATACAGCGCCTTATCACGTCTTCGAGACGTCTCAAAGCGCTTCACAGAAAACTTGCTGAAAAGTGAATTGACTGTGTATTTTGTGGGCAAAACGCGGCAGCCAATTGCGATCAAATTATGAGTTTTCTTTAAAGGGATTATTACCCCCGGAAAAGTGATCCGTCCATCGACTAACAACCAGGTTCCTTCTTACTGTTGATAAACAGAGGCGCGTGTGCGGAGTGAGGAAACTTGCCCAACATTTGGCCCTGGCTGGGAACCTCGCTCGCCGGGCGAATGCTCTACAGGACTGAGCTACAGGACTCCACATCACTGCAAAAGGCTCACAGGGCACATTGGACTTACACGCAGATAAAGAGAACAACATCCCCATGACAGCAGCGGTAAGCAATTTGCCAGCACCGTCCACAGCGACCATCTCAACAAACCACCTCACGCACTCAGTGACCACACGCCCGTCCTGAGGTGCTTTCTCCTCATTCCAGAAGCTTCTATGCCGTCAGCCGGAGGGGCGAGCCCAGTACTGAGTGTCTCTGGCAGTGACACACATATACACATGCACACACACACACACACACACACACACACTGACTGATTTGCATTCCTCGCCTGAAATAGACGCACTGACATCTATCTCCCTGACACTCTGGGCTCCAGCTTCTCTCACTGCAGCTTAGCTCTGGGCCCCGGTCTACGTTCATGGCCCCACCAAACCCAACCACCCCCCACCCCCCACCCCATCATCATGCGTGAGATTTGACACAGAGTCTGTGGTGTTGGGGGCATCACAGCCTGAACCCCAATCCTGTCGTCCCCAAAGCCCCCAATCGTAAACCCTCCTCTAAACCCACGCCGTCACTCCCTCAACCCCACTCCCTTAACTTCCCCCCAATCCCAGTCCCCTAAACCTCAAAACTATCCCCCCCCCCATTCCTAGTTCTCTTCCCAAACCCTAAATTATAATAATCCTTGCATTTGATATAGCGCTGTTCACGTCGGGAGGACGTCCCAAAGCGCTTCACAGAACACTGTAAAGTGAATTGACTGTATATTTGTGGGCGAATGCGGCAGCCAATGGCACACAGCAATGTCCCACAAACAGTCGTAGCGTATCAACTCCCCCTTCCTTTCGCTGGATAAAAGACTATGCCTTTACCCAGTGAGCCATCGGGGAGATGCTGGGGAGTGAGGGTCACTTGCTTTGTGATTGTACATCTGAATGTTTATGGCCAGGACAGCCCGAGATGCTCCACACTGACTCGCTTTCCTCCGCGTCTCCCTCTCTCACATGGAGATCGGAGGGTCACAGCCTAAGCCAAGACAGAGTGGGTCTTAGACAATCCAGTACGTGTGTGTGCGCGTGTCTTTGTGTATGTCGGGTGTGTGTGTGTGTGTGTGTATGTTTCTGTGCTTGTCGGTGTGCGTGTCAGTGTGTGTGTGTGGTGTCAGCACGCACGTGTGTATGACTGTGCGCGCGTGTGTCTGAGTATCAGCGTGCGTGTGTGTCGGTATGTGTGTGTGCATGTTAGTGGCATGTTTGTGCGTCTGTGTGTGTGTGTCGGTATGTGTGTGTGTGTGTGTGTGTGTGAGAGGGGTAGAATTGACTGTGTTCTGGTACCTGTGTTTGGGTACAGGATGTGCCACATGTGGCTGTCAGTCTGAGGCTGACAGCTGCTCTGTGTCGTCGTCGTCCCCCCCCCCACCCCCTCTGACCCTCTGGAATAGTGAGGAATCAGACTCCGGACACAGAGCACAAGTGGGTATGTGCAGAGGTCAGGAGGGCTCGAGCTTCCCCATCCGGCCCGAGTTTAGCAGCTGATTCCAGGAGCGACGGCAACATTCCGCCTCCTGACAACATTCCGGATCATCCCGTTAGCCCCCACCTATACACAGCCCCGATATACCCTGAGTCGGGGTCTTCTGTATGTGCGTTTGTGTGCGTGCATGTAGAGGACCGGTATGCGGCATGTAGAGTGCATGTATGTGTGGTGGGAGACGGGGTGGTGTGTGTGTGTGTGTGTGTGTGTGCAGGGGGAAGCCGTATGTACTGCGTTTGTGTATGGGTGTGTGTGTTTGGGTAAAGTTGTAGGTGTGTGTGTTTAGGCAGTGTTTTTTATGTGTGGGGGGTTGCGTGCGTGTGTGTGTGTGTGTGTGTGTTTGTGTATGTGTGGGGAGTGTTGGATGTGTGTGTGTGCGCGTTTGAGGGGTGGGGTGGGAGGAGTGTCGTTTGTGTGTGTATTTCTGGGGGAGACCGGTTGCATTCTTTGTATGTGTGAGATTGTATAAGTGTTCGCGCGCGTGTGTGTGTGTGTGTGTGGAGGGCGGGGGGAAGAGTGGGGCGAGATTGAATGTGTGCACGTGTGTGTGTGTGTAGAGGAATGATAAAACTACTTGCATTTATATAGCGTGTCGACGGATGAGACAGACAGTTTACAGGGCAGGAAGATGTGAGCGAGTGCCTCTGATTTAAAGGAGTCCAAATTCTAACAAGTCCTCTGCGTGAAACCACTTCTAAATCTCCCCCTTTTCTCTTCTGGTGACAAGGCTTAATTCACGCCTTCTTGTTAATGACAGTGGACTAAGGGTCTAACACGCAGCTAAATTTAGAAATTCTTGATGTAGTTGACGTGTGGGAGGTGGACAACAGAGCACTCTCTGGTGCTATCTCCGGCACTGGTGGTGATAATAATAATCATTGCATTTGATACAGCGCCTTATCACGTCTTCGAGACGTCTCAAAGCGCTTTGCAGGAAATACTGGAATGTGAATTGACTGTGTTTTGTGGGCGAAATGTGACAGCCAATTGCTCACAGCAGCGTCTCACAAACAGTCGCTGATTGAAGTGACTAATTTATTATTCTATATTTTTTAAGGGATTATTACCCCCGGAAAAGCGATCCGCCAATTGACTAACAACCAGGTTCCTACTTACTGCAAGGTAAACAGAGGCGTGTGGCGTAAGGAAACTTGCACAACATTTCGCCACTGCCCGGGAAGCGAACCCAGGTCTTCTCACATGCGAGGAGAGCGCTCTAACCACTGAGCTACAGGAAACCAGTCACTGAGATTGTTAACATCAACATCAACAACAACTTCGACAACAACAACTTGTATTTATGTAGCGTCCCTCACGCAGGGCAGCGTCCCAGAGCGCTTGTTAAAAAAAAACAATCAAAATACAGCATTTCATCATTTGAAGAACCTCGATCGGATAAATTGTTCCGGTGAAAAAAAACTGCCATAAAAGTCTCTCCCCATAACCCCTCGCCCCGAGAATACTACTACCAATAAATAACAATAATCCTTGCATTTGATATAGCGCCTTATCACGTCGTTAAGACGCTCTCAAAGCGCGTCACAGAGTATACTGCAAAGTCGACTGACTGTGTATTTTGTGGGCGATTAAAGTAATCAGCGGCTATTTTGCGTAACACAGAGCTCTCGCCACCCCCCCCTCCCCACCCCCCACCCCCCCCACTCACAATTTTACTTCACCCACAAAATATGCAGTCACTACGCTTTACAGTGTATCCTGTGAAGCGCTTTGAGTGTTAAGGCGCTGTATCAAATGCAAGGATTATTATCATTATTATCATATAACCATTTGCTTGTTTACAAATGCTCGGAAGGGAACGTCGAGCTGCGGAAGGCCTCTGATTGCGTTGTGGGTTAGCAAACACTGCACGGATTTCTCAATCACACAGTAACTCCAGTTTATGAAGGTCCTCGCGCACAGAGAAGCTGAACTTTGTACACTCTCTCTCTCTCCCTCTCTCTCTCTCTCTCTCGCGCGCGTTTTATTCCAGACACAGACTCTCTAAGGAGGAATGTCTGTCCGCAGGACCTGGTGTTTGGATTCTTTCAGCTCCTGAAATTCCGCACCTCAGACACCGACTGCTCGTGGCAAGCAGCCCCCCCGGGCGGGTGGGGAAGGTGGCGGGGGGGCGTGGAGGGGGTTAGGGGGGCAGGTGTGCCCCCGGGAGAGTGAGTGGCAGCAATTAGGACACAGACTGGAAGTGTGCCCACTGTTTCCCTGTGTTTTTGTGTGTGTGTTTTGGGGGGAGATGGGGTGGGGGGGGGGAGGGAGTGTGCGTGTGTAAGCGCTCCAAGATGCTGTGCCCTGTGTGAAGATCGCTATATTAATGCAAGTTGTTGTTGTATGTTGTGTGCGGGATTTGCGTGGTGTGTTTGGGGGGGAGGGTGTGTGTGTGTGTGTGCGTGTGGAGTCTGTGTACGTTGTGTGTGTGTTGTGTGTGTGAGATGTGTGTGGAGTGTCTGTATGTGGTGTGTGTGTTTTGTGTGCGTGTTTGTCTGTGGAGTGTGTGTAGGTTGCGTGAGTGCGTTGTGTGTGGGGGAAGGGGTGAGGTGTGTGTGCATGTGTGTAAATGTTGCGTGCGTGTGCGTATGCATGCGTGTGAGTGTGTGAGGGAGGGAGGGAGGGTGTGCCGGCCGTTCAGGGCAGGCAAGCGAGACAGACGTCATGGGCCGAGGAGGATCAGATTTCTCAAGTATCTCCTGGAATTCCAGGTGAGGACGAGGCTGGAGAGGAACCAGCCAACTCCGTCCTGTGTGACGGGACTGGTGGGGGGACGGGGACATAGGTCCCATGACACCCCCAAACTCACAGCTTCACCCCCCTCCTCCCTCTACACTCAGTGTCACCCTCCCATGTCACCCCCACTCATAAACACACACTCCCCCTCCCACCTCCCACCCCCCAGACCCCACCCACCCCTTCTCTTCCATCCCCCCCACCCCACATACACAGCAACACCCTCTCACCCTCACTCCCCCCAACACACACACACGCTTGTAAACACACGCGTATACACACACACATATACACACGCGCGCACGTAAACACACAAATGCATACACACACACACCTTTACACATACACACGTACA